GAAGCCACTGGGGTGGTGTGAACCAGTTCAGAAGGGAGAGGAGGCTAAGGGCCATCCACCCTGTCCTTCCAGTACGGCTGGCGGCTTTGAGTCACTGCAAGAGAGTTCTGGCCCAGATCCCACACCATTTCTGCTTGAGGGATTGGACGAGTTTGAGCAGCTGCACCCTAAGGCAGGGGAGGGAACCCTGGGCCGAACGCTGTTTCCACACCGGCCGTGTGTTCGGTGTGAGCGCAGTCGGCATTGCTGACCCGGCTCCTCCCAAGCTGGGAGTCCGGAAGTTGCCCGCCTGGGCACAGAGCTCGAGCGCCAACCGAGGAGGGGGCGGCGGGCCTCACCGCCGGGCTCGCGCTGCGGTCCTGCAGTCGACAGGCGGGCAGGCCGCCCGGGCGGTCCTGGGATCGCGCCACGGGCCCTCACGCCACTCCCAGGCCCTGCGGCCGCGCCGGTCCCTGGCCGGGCCCGGCCGCCCGAGCGAGAGAGCGCGGAGCCGGGCTGGGGCCAGAGGTCGCCTTCTGCCCGCCCTTTCCGGCCCAAAGCTCTCACCTGCCGCCGAGGCCCGGGAGCTCGGCTCCGGGGCCAGCGCCTGCCCGGCCCACGGACGCCTGCGAGCTGGGCCCGCCGGGCCCCGCCTCGCTTGCCGGGGCCCCGCCCCCCCGCCGAGGCTCCGCCCCCGGGCAGCCGGCACGCCTCTCGCGACCCGGGCCGGTTTCGAGCGGATATGACGTTTCTGGGAGCGAGTCGGCGCGGGCGCACAGAGCAGGATGTCTTCCGGGTCGTGCTTGGCCCACGCCGGGTCCCCCTCGGGCCGCGGGTGCGAGCTGCCGACGTGGCTCCGGGCTCCGGGTAGGGGCCTTGCTCGTGCACAAACGCCCTGCGGCTGGCCTCGGGTTCCCGCCACCACCACGCAGCCCCCGGGCGACCGAGCCGTGATAGCCTCCGCCTAGTTCCACCTCCCTTCGTTCAAGCAGTGACCGAGTGTCTACTTCCAAACTGTGGGGCATCGGTGAGCTTGTCCGCCTTTCAGAACTATTTGGCGCTACTAGCAGAGTCTGAAGGCGTCGCTGGAAAGGAAAGCAAACTGATGGCATAAGTTGGGCACAGAGGTGGTGAGGTGTAGAAAGGACATGGGGGGGGGACAATAAGCGAGTGCTTAGTCTAAGGGGATTTATATGTTGTGAAAGGCTGCTGGGCAACTGCAGTCAGTCAGTGGCCACCCGCTGCTCTGGAAAAATTTGTCACGGCTCTGATGGAGGCTAGTGGTCCTAAATCACCAGTACGTGCCCACAGGAGGTGCTGGATCGTTGAGAATGGAAACAAAACAAATCAGCGTCTGTATTTTAGTTTAATTTTTCAGGCACCATACTAACTTTAATAATAAAAATCTTAGTTTAAATTTAAATACATTTAACTTAAAAATTGTATGTTTCATAAAGTTTACATGGGCAGTGTATGTGATATGTAAACAGATAAACACATGGTGGGCTTTATGCTCCAGAGGATTTGATCAGAAACATTCAGAGGCCCTAGCTCTCCGCTCTTCTTTAGCCTCAGAGGACCAGTAAGCTGTAAGCCATTTGTGTGTACTGTATCTCAACATCCCTGGTACTAGCCCTCACAAATGAGGCAAAGGGGGTCCTGATGGAAGTGGCCTGGTGCAGGGGAGAGGCCTGCGTTTGGCACAACGCTGCAATGGAATGTGCAGTCTACAAAAGGGCAGTGCAGGTCTGGGTGTCTGAGGACGGGTATTACTGGCCCAATGGAGAAGGCAAATGGATCAGCCCGGAAGACCTGGGGAAGGAGAGCCTAAAAGACTTGTCCTCCCTGGAGGAAACCTGTGTTTTAATAATCCAACTAAATGGGAGTTGCTGCCAGGGCTCAAGGGGAGGAAATGTAGTTAGAAGGCTGCTCCCTGTTACTGTCAGTCACCTCAGCCCTCCCTGAAAAGCCAGAATGGGCTGGGGGGATGTCCGGCATGAGGGGATTTGGAAGTCTGTACAGGGGAAAAGGACGGCTACATTAAAGGTAAGAGAATGTTCATAGTTGGTTTGGGGGATTACTAATTTTCCTCAGGAGAGGAGGAAGGGCTCTACAAATCAGTCAAGGACATCTGCTTCCAAAAGAGAAGCCATCCGGACTGAGAGAACATGTGGAACAGACAGTAGTGACAGTCAAAACGTAAGTGCAGTTCGGACGCGAGCCCTGCCACTGTACTATGTAATAGGGCGGCGGCAACCCTGAGAGGTATGCTTACCTCCCGGTCTCCGGGCAGCCGTCTCTAGGAATCTGTGTGGTAAATGAGTGTGCAGGGAAGACACGTTCTACACAAGCACAAGTATGGCATGCATTTGCTATTTATAGGGACGGGTGACAACTGTCATTTTTGCCTGCCCAGCATCAGGTAACAGGACCTCGGTTTTCTTTGTGGGAACCGTCCCTGCTCCACACTTGGTACGCAAGGTCTGGATGTGGGTCACTCCGGCACTTGCCTCTGGGGTGGGCACACGTCTCGGTGTAGCCCAATCGGAGCCAGCCATATTGATAGGAGGATACGCCCATAATCTGACCTGGACCAATGAGAGCTAGTTCCCAGGGACTTGAGCTAGAACTGCTGGGAAGGAGGGAGCTCTTTTTTGGCTGGGATTACTAAACTGGGACCTCTACTACTGCTCCCCCTAGGTGGGGGAGACAGCATGTTTGAAAATGAAGCAAATTACAGAGAAAAGTAGAGCCAAGAGATGGAGGGAGCTCATGTCCCGATAACGTAATTGGGGCTAGAACCACCTGTGGGCATTGGGGTCCGATATGGGAACACTAAGTGCCCCCTCCCATGTCATTACTTAATTTTGGTTATGTCACTTTGAATTGGGATCCTGACATTTACAACCAAAGGTGACCTAACTCCTCAAGGGTAGGTGGGGGGAGGGGCACCAACCCCGTACCCCGGTGGAGGAGGACCGAAGGATACAGCTTTGCCTCCACTTTGGAAATTTGGGCAGACTGTGCTCCACACCGTCATCTGCTTCCTAGCCTGGGTTGGCCCAAGGGGGGGATTTAAGCTGGCTTGCTGTTTCCATCTGTGTGACTCTGATGACTCCCCGTGAGGGCAAAGCCCCCTGAGGAGTTAGGGACCATCGCTGGGGCTCACTCCAACGGTCCTAGCATGTAACCCAGCCCAGGGCAGGCCCTTGGCAGGCATTTGGGAACAGTCAAGTGACCCCAGCAGTGGAATGAGGCAGTTGAATGGGGCTGTGTGCCTCCCAGCCTCACAGTGTGGACTTTCTATGAGGTTCTGTTTCCTTTGGGACATGCTACCAACCTTGGGGAGCCTCACTTACTTGGCTTCTGGCCTCTCAGCTGCAGTGAAATTCTCCTAAACTCGCCAGGGACTTGTCTCTATCCTGCAAGTGGGGACAGTGATAGTCCTTTCTCGCTAAGGGTTGTTGTGAGGCCCACGCAGGTAGTGCGTGTAACTGGAGAGCCCGTGGGAGGCGCAGTTTGAACGCTGGCCACACAGTGATCACTGGGCAGCTCAGTGGGTACACAGGGCTTCGCGATGCTGTTTTCTCTCGTTCAGGGGATGTTCAGAATTTTCGATGATAGGTTTAAAAGTGCATATTTGTACGATAATACCCTTTATCCATCTGTCAAACCCATAGCCTGTATAACAGCAGGAGGGAACCCTGCTGTCAACTTGGGGTTCAGTGATGACACCTCAGCGTAGACTGGGGATGTGGAACTCTGCAGTTTCTGCTCAACATTGCTGCAAACCTAAAACTGTTCTAAGAATGTCTATAAATAATGCATGCACATCAAGCACTTGGCTCAGGGCCGGGCTGGGAGTGGACTGCTACGATCAGCTTCTGGGCCCTTCTGGTGTCTCCACCTCCGTGACCTTTGAGGTCCCGGCATCACCACCACAGCCTCTCCTTCTGGGCGGCCCTGGGGGCCTCTCAGTCTTCTGCCTGCTCCTTACTTGCCTTTCTTGACACTGTTCACATTTTGGTTGCAGTGAACTCCTAGAAGGTGAAGGCTTGGGATGCCCGTCTCCAGAGCGGGACTCGTGAAGTCCTTCGCCCCTGCCCCGTTGAGGTCGCTTGGCTGGCTCCTGGATTCCCCAGATTTAGGAAGTTCAAACTGCCTTTTCTCCTTTTTCTGACTTCAGACCGCTTCTTTGCTCCTGGTTGTGCCGTTCCAGCAATACTCCTTATAGTTTCTTGCTGATTCTTACTCAACGAAGGGAAACAGAACCGTAATGTTTAAGAAATGGCGAATAGCTCACAACTTGGGCTTTGAAGCCCTGATCTCAAAGACATTCAAAGTCAAGTGCCGCAGGTCAACACAAGCTCCTGAGGGAGGGTGTGGGCAGTGGGGAGGCACCTGGCTGTTTTTAATTCTCATCGCTGTCTCTAGCGGCCTTGAAGTGTGGGAAGGAGTTGGTGGCAGAATGCTCTCGCCGGGGCAGGGCTGCCGGAATGCCAGCGGCGAGCTGTGTGTCAGGGGCAGGAGCCCTGGAAACTAGGGTTGTCTACGAAGGCTGTGGGAGCGGGTCCACCCAGCCCCCGGCACATGAACGCACTTGATTCCACTGGGGGCCACTCGTTTATTAAGAGCGCATCCCGAAGGCCGGCCCCCCTGGTGGCCCGTCACACGGCCCTGTAGCGCCCCGCCAGCCCGGCTCCCCAGGGGCCCCTTCCCGCGCAGGGCGAGGCAGGAGGCCGCCGGCTCCTGAACTGCCAGCAGGCGCGGCCTCTCCGAAGACGTCACACCGGAATCCGGATTGGCCAGAGAGGCGGCGAGCGGCTCCGGGACCGCAGGTCCCCCGCCACCCGAGCCCGGAGCCGTCGCCGCGCGGGGGTCGGGCTGGGGCTCCCCGGGGGAGGCAGCTTGAGGAAATACGGAGAGGGGCGCCTGACCGCCCGATCAAAGCAAGCCGGGGCCGGCCCCCGCCGCCCCCGCCCCCGGTCGCGCCCGGCCCCCCCTCGGGTCACCGCCTCGGAGCCCCGACGTGCGGGGCCAGAGCGCGCTCGTCCGGCTTCGGGCCCGCAGGGGCGCCTCCTCCCGGCCTGGCGCACGCGGCCTCCCTGGGCTGGTCCTGCGCCTGGCCCGGCTAGCGGGCCGTGGTCCTCCTCGGGATGCAGCCCTCCATCTCCAGCGCCTCGGGCCAGCCTTCGTACTTGTTGGTGTGCTTGCTGTTCTTCACGTGCTGCGGGTTAGGGGCGGGAAGCCCGGCCTCAGCCCTCGGGCGGAAGGGACTCCGGAGCTTCGGTCGCCCCGCACTGGCGGCGGCCAACCGTGCGCGCTCAGGGCACGCCCCGCCCCCTGCCGTCTGTCCCTGGGGCCCGATCCTGCCATCTGCAGCAGGGCAAGCATTGCACAGGCCTCTGCTGACCCCACAGGGGTAGTGTGGGCGCCGCACGCCGGGGAAGGCGAGGAGGGAACGCGATGTCCGTTCCGCCCTCACCTGACCCACAGCGAGCTGCTGGAAGCTTCAGGAAGAACAAAGCCAGAGGGAACATTTCATCTCTTTTGTGGCAGCCAGAGCCTTCCAGAAACCATGGGAACAGCCTATTTGTCTCATCCGGCTGTGTGGGGGAGTGGGGGTGGGGCCGGGCTGGGGGGCGCTGGGGCTTTCACCGGGCCAGGAGCCTCCCAAAGAGGAGGATGGTGCCTGGGCCTCCCCAGCCCCTTGCACAAGGCTTGACATGGTGGGTCTGGAGGGCCAGTGGGCCAGAGGGCAGCAGGGGCAAGGGGAGGTGGCATGCGGGGTGAATGGGGGTGAATGGGTCACTGGGTCCTAGCGGGAGGAGACAGCACTGAGCATCTGGAAGGCGTCTGGGAGAAAGATTTCCTAATCGTGAAAGCTTTCCCTGTGCAGACGGCAGATTCAGGGGAACCTGAGGCGTGAGCTGAGGCACGCTGGTGGGCTGGAGGCAGAGGGGCGGGAAATGGAGGGCCAGGCTCTCATACCTGCTCAAAAGGGCTCTTGTTCTGCACGCCCTTGGCCCCCACAAACACCCAGCTGTCCCGAAAAGCCAGATCCTTCACGTTCTTGCTGCCCAGATCGCTGAAAAGCTTCCTTGTCTCTTCATTCATCCTGCCACACACAAGGAAGAGACTTAAGTGGTCGCCGTGGCAGCGTGAGGCTGAGGCCGGCCTTGGCAGTCACTTACTTGGTGGCTGGGTCGTCATAGGATGCCACAAATACCAGGGTGCCTTCATGCAGCGGCCGAATAAACTTCAGCAGGTCGTTGACATCTGGGGTGACAGGTCCCATGAAACACGGAGCATCGGGCAGCACAGGGTGCCCACCCCCACCAGCCCCCGCTCTCCAAATAAGGAGACTAAAAGAAGGGATCAGGCCAGGGACACACACACACGAAGGGTTGCCACGGGAGTGCAGGGACAAACTGGTATAGCAACCCTGATGAGTGTACACCTGTCCCTGTCCCTGCCTTTTCGAACCCAAGGAGCCACAGCCATGGGCAGAGGGCAGCACGTCAGCGATCTGGCGGTACATGGTGACTCACCTCCTGCCCACATGTCAAAGGCCCGGGCCTCGATGAGCTCGCCGCTGACCCCTGCGGTAACAGGGAGGGAGGTGGTCCTGCTACTCGAGCCGCGGGGCAGCTCCACCCGACCTCCGCAGCCCCCCTTGAATGAGGCTAAGGACATGGCCCTGGCCACTGGGTGCAGACCTTCTGGAAGCTTTCTTTCACGCCCCCTGTGCCCCCTCCAGCTTCCTGGAAACTTCTGGTTCTTTACTGCTACTGTGCTTTGCTTATTGGGTCACTTCTTCTGTGGAACCTAGAGCTTGCATGAACCCCTGCCTAGGCCTCCCTGGGAATTCCCAGAGGGGAGGGCAGGGGAAGAGAGGACCGAGGCGAATGTCCAGATGCCTCTTCATGGGGAGGGCACGAGGAAGGAGGGGGGCAAGCCATGGCATGGCCCTGCTTCTCGATCTCAACTCTGACCCCACATCACAAGGACTCACCATTCACCAGGGCGATGTTCAGTCCACGGCCCACGTTGTCCTTGACACTGCTCATGAGCCTACCGGGGTGGGGGTGGGGGGCAGAGCCCTCAGATGGCACGTTTGCTCCAACGTCCTTCATAGATCCAGCTTCCAGTCTCCCGTTCCCCCCACCGGCCACCCCGAGGCGCTCACATCTTATCTTCGAGGCAGATCTTCGGTCCGATGACATTGGCAGCCCCACTGACCATGCGGAAGGCCAGGTGCTCCTCGGGGCATGGCTGGGGCAGGCCACACTTGTACTTCCTGGCTCGTGGCTCTGAGCATGAACAGCAGGAGTGACCCACGGGCCTGGCCCTGGGGTCACCTGAGATCTGAGACGGGAAGGTCAGGACCAGCCCACAGGGAGGAATGAGTGGCCACAGAGCAGGGGACCAACAGGGGATAGAGAGGATGTGGCTCAGGCCAAGGCCAGGGACACTTCCACAGACACTCTGTGTCCTGCTGGGGCTGGCCTCAGGGCAAGGTGACAGGGACCTTAGGGAGGCTTTTCTGCCACCGGTGGGAGAAAAGAGGTAGGAGGGCTGGCCTTGGTTGTGGCCTTGCAGGGAAGGAGCACAGGTAGGGGAGGAGGGAGCAGCTGGGACAGTGACTCAGGGAACGGGCAGTGAGGAAAGCACCTGACTCCCTCCCTTGGGCAGAGGTGGGAGGACAAGAGGGGGGCTCTGTTACAGGTTAAATTGTGACCCACAAGAGATGTGTTGATGTCCTAACTCCTGCCATCTTCGAATATAACCCTATTTGGAAACAGGCTCACTGAAGGCCTGGTCAGTTAAAATGAGCTCATCGTGGGGTAGGGTTAGTTAGTTAAGCCTAAATCCAAGGACAAGTGTCCAGTTCGTGGCATTTGAGTCCAGAGGCCCGGGGACACTGGGGGGTGGGGTGGGGTGCTGACCGTGGAACTGGGTAGTGAAGGGAGGCTGTAGAAATCTGTGGAGCTGGGGTGCCTGGGCAGCTCAGTGGGTTGGAGCCTCTGCCTTCGGCTCAGGTCATGATCCCAGAGTCCTGGGATCGAGCCCCGCATCGGGCTCTCTGCTCCGCGGGGAGCCTGCTTCCTCCTCTCTCTCTCTGCCTGCCTCTGCCTACTTGTGATCTCTGTCTGTGAAATAAATAAAATCTTAAAAAAAAAATCTGGGGAGCAGCTAGACCAGGCCTAGACGGTCTCACGGGAGGTGCTGACAGAAATATGGATGTTCAAGGTGATTCCTATGTGAGCCTAGGGTGAAGGGCGCGGGGAGCTTGTTGTGACCATGGCCAGAGTGGGGTGGCCATGGGCCTTAGAGACGCTGCTGCTGTGGTCTCGGGTGGAAATGGGAACGTGTTACTGGGTACTGGAGGAAAGGTGGGTCTCATCATAAAGTGGCAAAGAACTTGGCCCAGTCTGGTTCTGATGTCTGAGGAGAGGAGAACTTGTAGACACTGAACTGGGAATACCGAGCTGAGATTTCCAAACACAGCCTGGTTTCTCCTTGATGCTCGCAGTAAGATGTGAGGAGAGAAAGATAAACTGGAACCAGAATTGTTAAGCACAAAGGAACCAGAATGTGAGAACTGGGAAAAGACTCAGTCTAAGCGCACCGGTGTGGTCGCAGGACCGATCGCTAACGAGCCGAGGTGCATGACTCGTGGTTCTACTCGGTCCTGTCCCCAAAGCCGGGAATCGAGGTGGGATTACCCAGAAGAGGTCTGCAGGGCCCTCCTGTCTCACACCTTAGAGTCTCATGAATAGCACAAGACACCAAGAAGGTTTTTAAAAATTTTATACCAGGAGAAACCCTGCCATCCTGGGCTGAAAAGGACAGAGAAAGGACAGAAGGCAACAAGGGTGGCTCTGAGGGCAGAGCAGCGGCTGCAGAGGGCAGAGTCGGCACAGGCCCAGAGGGTAGGACTGCCCCCCCCAGGAGCGCACTCCGCTTCCCCACCAGCTCCGGTGGGGCCAGAGGACAGAGCAGTGGGCCTCAGAGGAGGCTTCTCAGGCCTTGAATCCTGACAGCATTTGCCCTGCTGGGTTTCAGACTTGCTGGGACTGGTGACCCCCTTATTCCTTCCAGTTTCTCCCTTTTGAAATGGAAAGGTCTATCCTAGGCTTGTCTCACCAGTGTATTCTGGAAGCAGGTAACTGGTTTTCTAGGTTTGCAGCCGGCAAACAGCCCCAGTGGGCTGTGATGGCTAGTTTGGTGGGGGGGATGCAGGGAGAACAGAGACCCCGGAGGACTTGAGGCAGGCGGAGCTGAGAGCTGGGAGGAGTGGGGAGGTGACAGTAGCCTTACCTGCAGTCACTGAGTTCTCTGGGCCTGTGGGGATAGAGAGTTGCTTGTGTTAGGGTGGAGGCCTCCAGGGGCTGGCAGCAGGGCATCCTGGTCCTGGCCCTGGTCCTGTACCATGAACTTGAGATGGAGGGCTGGTCAAGCTCAGGGGCTAAGCCACACACAACCCCCCCCCCCCCACCACAGCTCCAGGAAAAGGGTCAATGGCACTGTAAACAACACCCAGTGCCCCCTCCCCATTCCAGAGGCTGGTGGAGAGCCCACAGGAAGCAGCCAGGCTGTTGTCCCAATATCTGGAGAGGTCCCCCTGCCCCTCGCTCAGACTCTGCTGACTCCAACAGGGCCCAGGGTTTTAACTGGCAGAGACGGGAGCAACTGGATGATAGGGGGAGACGGCCTGAGGGCAGTTAGACGGGGCCTGGCAGAAAGAGACACCCCCACCCCACCCTGAGCCTCTGCCCCCAGGCCCAGAGTGCCCCCCCCCGCCTCCAAGTGGCAGCCACTGCAGAGCAAGGAGGCGTCCCACACTTACTGGCAAAGAGCTGCTGGATGCGAGGAAAGCCACTGCCAGGCCCGCCCAGGAGGATGCTGACCACGATCCACGTAAGGCCCACGGTGACAACCAGGGCCACAATGCGGAGGGGGCCTAGAGGCAGGACAGACAGGGTAAGGCCACCTCGGTTGTCAGTGAGCTCCCGAATGGCCCTGGGGCCTCTCAGGACTGCATCTTCCTGCCACTTGGGAAGAATTGAGCAGAGGACCAGAGGGTGGGGGCCTGCTGCCATCCACGAGGCCTGGGAGGGGGACTCGAGCTCCTGTGGGTGGAAGGAAGACCCTGCATCCAGGGCTTTCAGCTTGGTCCTCTGTGGCAGGTATGGAGCAGACCTGACCACTCCAGAGGCTGCCAGCCTCCCTCAGGAGTCCCCAGACTTTGTCTTGGTGGCCACCAACATATTCACATCCCACCTGTCCTGTTCTCTTTTTCTCCCATCATGACGGAGAAGAGGGTCCCTGCTCCTTCCAAAGACCAGTTCGTACAGCTGCTGTGGAGCCGGACCTGAGCTCTGCTCCCGAGAATCGTTATCTACTCTTTCTCCTAGACCTGCAACAGCTCCCATCGTTAAGACAGCACAGGAGAGACCCTCAAATCACATCCCCGTCCAGCCACTGACCTCTCTCCGAGCCTCCCTTCCTCTTCCGCAGTCTCACCATCCACTCTCTTCCAACCTACTCCGGTGTGGCCTTGTCTCCATGAGCCCACTGAAACAGCTTGTGGCCAAGGTCATATATGATCTTCTTGGGGTCAACTCCCTGGGTCACCTGTCAGCCCCAATGTTCCTGACCTCTCAGTTGGCCGCCTGGGTCCTCCTGCTGGAAACACTTCTCCAGTGGCTTCTGTGGCAGCACATCCTAACCCCCCACCTGGGTGCTCCTCATCCTCCCTACTTAGATTGTCCTCTACTCTCCCCTGAAATGCTGGCCACACCCAGCTTCTGTCCCAGGCTGTGTTCTCTGCCTACAGTCTACTCTCCCGATAGGTGCCCTCAACTCCTGGCCCCCAATTAACCTACAAAGCAGTATTTTTTGCTCCAGCCCTCGCGGATCTTGAGGCCACACCCTCCCAGCCGATTCCTCACTAGTGGCTCTACTGGGATACATTTACAAGGCTGCAACCTTCAGCAGCCCTGAATTCCAGTTCTTGAGTTCTGCTTGGCATCACCCACTCTCATCTGTTCCTCCCCCAGCCAAGCCATCTGTCTTGCTGTCGGGTGGGCCTAGGGCAGGTTTGCCACCGGTTCTTACCCAGCTCCATCGCCGCTCCGGTCAACTTCCACTCTAAGACCACGCCCCTCCGCGACTGCACCCCGCCCCCCTTTCCTAGCCGCCATGCTCCCTGCAGCCTCTCCCACAACTCGTTTTTTCAGACAGCGGCCAGTTACCCGAGTTGGGAGAAATCGACTGCCCTGATTCTATTTCACAGCTCTTGACTTCCTGGGAGGTGAAAGGATTTACTCGAGGTCACAGAATGGGTGTTTGTGTAGGGCCCTCCATTAACAAAATCCCAGTCATCGGTCCACCCGGGCCCCTCCAGACACAGACCTCCGGACACCTGAGCCTCAGTCTGGTCCCTTTTCCAACTACCTCCCGTTCACTGTGGAAGCCACCCACCTGCCAACCTCATGTCCACTTCTCCCAGGGGTTGGGGCTGCCGGCAGGAGCACTGTCTGGGGACCGTGCGCTCTGGGAGCAATACAGCAGAAGAACAGGTTTGGGTGGAACTCAAGGATGACCCTGGGCTTGGCCCCTGCTGCTGGGAAGACGTGATCGGTGCACCGGTTTGCTCGTCCAACGAGCTGGTGAGGCTCCTCGAGCACGCGGAGAGAAGCGCTGCCAGGACAGGAGAGTCCTCCGGAACCCGTCGGCTCACGATCGTGCCCACAGGAGCCTCTGGGGCCGCGAAGGAAAGGTGGTTCTCCCGGACGTGGGCCTCCTCCGTGGGAGGCCCTGAGCTCGGGTCGTCCCCCAACCTCCAAGGCTGGGGGACACGGATGACACGAGCTAGGCTAGTGGAGACTTGCCTGGCCGTGGGGGAGATGCAAGCTGGGGTGGGAGGCAGCCCGGTCAGGCCGGCTGCCCGGCTATGTTCCGCGACGCGCGGCGAGAGAGGTGCGCAGCTCCGCTGACGGTCCCGGCAATGGCGGTCCGGGGCGGGGCCACGGCTCGCAGGCGCCACCCCCGCCATCCGCTCCCGCCCTGCCGCTGCGCCGTTCAAGGGGAGAAGACCGTGGAGTCCCCGCCCCCAGGTCCGCGGACCCCCGCCCATAGGCCCGCCTCCAGCAGGCGTTTCAGCCGGGGTGGGAGGAGGCCTCCGCTCCGGTCCTGCCCCTGAGTGTTCTCTGGTCCCGCCCCCGGCCGCAGCTCGGGAGGAGCAGGGCGGTGTCCGCGGCATCCCACGTCGGCTCCGCGGCAGAAGTCTTCCCTCGGGCTCCTCCAAAGTGGGAGATGCCGGCTTTGAGGACTGGGGTTGAGCTCCTGGCCTGCGGTCAGATTTCTGAAGCCTGGACGAAGCGACCGGATCTAGGGGTGTAATTAGAAATTGTTCAGGGGTCGCTTGGGCGACTCAGTGGGTTAAGCCTCTGCCTTCGGCTCAGGTCATGATCCCAGGGTCCTGGGATCGAGTCCCCCATCGGGCTCTCCGCTCAGCGGGGAGCCTGCTTCCTCCTCTCTCTCTGACTGCCTCTCTGCCTGCTTGTGATCTCTGTCAAATGAATAAATAAAATCTTTAAAAGAAAACCGAAACCTTTTGGAAAATTGACATGTGTGTCTTTAGAAAGCTGGAGACACGCAGGAGTCCACGGGAAAACGGAAAACGTGAGTATGCCCAGGCCAGAACGACGCCTTTCCTCCCACCCTGTTTTCCAGAGCGAAGCACGTCCACGTGCTGTCGCTGGTCGCGGACTAGGGAGGACTCGCTCCTGCCCTCTCCCCTCCCGTGGGAAGGCCGCGGCCTCGGCCCAGCACGCCCCCGTCACGCATCACCCGGAGAGCAGCACCCGCCGTCGGGCGGGCCCGCCTTGCTCTCTGGAGGGCAGCGCCCCGGTGGCAGCAGAGCCCAGGAACACGGCCTGCCCTGACCCGCCCAAGCCGCCTGCGGAAACCTTCTTAAGGAAAGAATCCAAAACAGAGAAAGCTTGTAGCGCCGGGCAGCGACAGCTCGGGCTAGGAGCCAGTACCTTCTCCGTGGGCAACATCTAAGATCAAGGAAATGAGTTCCAGGCAGGCCCCTGCTGCTGCAGTCCGCGCTTAGCTTTTTTTTCTTTCCTTTTTCATAGAATTTGGGATCCGAGCTAATGCTGACCACCCGTCAAACTCACAAGTCTTCCCGAACCCCGGGTGCACCGTCTCTCCCCCAAGGTTTGCAGGCGCCGGCGCCGGCAGAGGGAGCTCCTACTGCCCGCGCTCTCGCGGTGCCCGCCGGACTCGGGGCACCCGCCCGCTCGGTAGTTCAGAGACAACCGCGTTTACATCTTGTCCAGGGCAGGAGTCTCGAAGAGGCTGCTTTAATGAGTCCCCCTGAGGGGCCAGAGGCACAACCGCACAACCGCCGTCCCCACAGCTACCAAGCAAGAGACTGGATCCGCTCCAGGTCGTCGGGCCTGTGCGGCAGCCTCGCCCGACTCCCAGCTCCGCTCGCGGACTCGTTTTCAGCCAGGACGGGCAGCGCGTGGCCGCCTTCACGTCCCAGGCCCTCACGTCTCCGCCCGCCCGGGTGCAGGCAAGGGCCGTGAGGGGACACAGAACCTCTCCTCCAGGCGTCCCTACCTGTGCCCGTGTAGTCCCCGGAGCTGAGGTGCCAGTGGATGTCCTCAACGGATCTGTCATCTGCTGCTCTCAGTAGACACTGAAGCAGAGTTAGCAGCGGGTGGGGACCACCTAAGGCCCTGAGTCGGCCCCTCGCCTGGGACCTCTTGCCTCCCCTCTAGATGAGGCGACCAGACCTCAGGCGACAACTGATTTCTCCCACGCAGTCCTTCCTGCCTCTGCCTGTCTTTAATAACCAACAGCTTAAGGGACAGCGAAATGTCCTCAGTAGCCCCTCAGTCCAGCCTCCAGAACAGGCGGCAAGATTTGTCCTCGACTGTCCTCATCTGGGCTCTCATGTCTCTCCTCAGTGCCTCATTCTCCCTTCAAACCAAGGGCTCAGGTCTGGCCATGCGCCGGAATGCAGTCACCGGGCTTGAGCGCCCTGCAGCGCTGCTCGCGCACCATGTGTCGGGGGCTCGCGCTGCGTCTCGGGGTGGGAACCCAGATCTGAGCTAACAGCTGAACGACCTCACCGGTCCTTCGCTGCTCCACATGAGGCTCAGCACCATGCCTGAGGGGGAAGGGGACTCGGCACAGGAGCCCGGAGCGGAGGGGACTGCTGCCATTCATCGCATGTAAGCACAGGGACGTGAGGTGACAGATGGGTCTCCTCACCGTGTCTGTCATCTCTCTTCCCCATTATAGACCCCCAGGACTGAGGAGACACTTGTCTTAGTTCAGCAAGGCCCAAGTTCTGTGTCAGATGGCATTTGGAGCTGCGGTGACAGCTTAATGCCTTTAGTTGGGACTTCTCTGTCTTCCCCATTGCAGGTTCCTAGAGCTGACAGGTGACTGTCATCAGGTCCTGCTCTCTTTCTCAGTCACCCAGGGGTCAGGTGACAGTTGACTGTCATCACCAGGGCCCTTACGTGTATGCCCTGGTGTGGCGCTCAGATCTGGGGTGCCCTGACCTGGATCCTTGTGCCTGTCACAGTGGAGACAGAGCTGGAGGAAATCGGGAGGTCCCAACACACCACTCTCCGCACTCACACCTGGTCATCATGTGTTGGGGGCCCCAGAGAAGTTAGGTCCCTCTTCTACTTTGGGCTCCCGCTGCTCCCCTTATGTGGATCCTCCCACATCCCCAGGGGAATCCTCCCTGGTGATGCCATGCCAGCAGGTCCCCCAGGGAGCCTGGGAACTCAAGAGGACAATCCCCAGAACACAGCTCTCCTGGGTCCCCCAAAGTCTAGGAATGCCTGTGGGGCTCTGCAGAGGACTCTGAGCTTGAGGACCCTGCCAGGGTCCGGACGGACTCCCGCATCTTCATTTATTTGACGTCTCCCGACCTCCAAGGGCTTGAAGTTATGCTCAGGTCTGTGTTTTCGGGATGAGTTTCCAGCATGGCTGGGAACTAGAGTAGGCAGAACAGCGCCCTCTGGTGGTAAGCGGGGTAAGGCGCGGTCACACCTTCAGCGACTCACGCGGCCCCATTCCTTTTGTCGCCCCAGCTCATCAGGCATGAGGCTGCTCTGCAGTCAAGGGCAAGACCCTTGGCAGCTACGTGGGAGCCAGAGGGCTACAGCGGAGCCTGCAAGTCCCTAGGCTGGCCCCCTCTAGCTCCCGGGGAGGCCTTTGCCACCACCCCCTGTCCAGGAAGTCCCAGGCACCAGGAAGGACCAAGGCCACTGCCCGCAGGGTGGAGCCTGGCCTCCAATCCTGTCCACATGGAGTCTTCTCGGCTGCTCTGCATGGACCTGGGCTGGGGGGGGATCTTGAGGTCCAGAGCCCACTGAGGAAAGTCACCACTTAGGGGTATGTGATCTGTCCTAACCCCACAGAGCTCCCACCTTCCCTGTTTGGTGACCTCAGTGACCCCCCGCCTTACCTCACCTGATGTACCACCTCCCCTGGTCACAGGAGGGGATCGGGAGAGTGTAGATGGCACCCAGGAGGGCCGCTCATGTGTACGGGGGTGACACATTCCCCTGGCTTACGGAGCGGAACGGGCCAGCCCACCAGTAGTTTTTTATCTACGTATGGCTCCCACATGGGGGCCTTGGCTCCCCACCGACCAGCCAGCACTCCGCCAGGCTGCGCCCTGTCTCCCCTGCCCTCACCAGGTTCTCCAGCTTGTCCTCACTGGCAGGACCAGGTAAGGTTTGGATGGCTGGAGTGAAAAGCTCCCGGCAATTGCCTCCCGAACAGGGGTGGGGAGAGAGGGGCTGAGCCCTGACAACCACGGAGCCCTGGGCTAAGTCTCCCCCTCCCAGGGAGCGGAGCCTCCCCACTCTCCCCTGCCACCCTGAGTGATTTTCTGGACCACTTGTTCCCTCCATAAAACATACTGCCATCTGATCATTCTGTCCTTTTGTTCTGGGCTGGTTCTACCTCCCAGAGCCCGGGGCGCTGGCGCTGCACTATTGTTGAGTAGGGCTGGGGGAGAGGGGAGCACAGGGGAGTGTACTGGGACGAGCAACCCCCCCCACCGCCACCACCCCCCCACCGTGGCCCTGGAACGTGGCCTTATTTGGAAAGGGGACTGTTTACAGAGATAATCAAGGTTAAGTCAGACGGAGGTCACGGCAGAGAACGGCCCCTAATTTGACAGGACTGCTGTCCTAAGAGGAACCAGGAGACACACAAGCACACAGACAGGGCAGAACGTAGAGTCGGGGGCAGACACTGAGTGATGGGTCTGCCAGCCACGGAAGGTCCAGGATGCCGCCACAGCGGGAAGAGGCAAGGAGGGCCCCTAGAGCCTTCGGAGGGAGCTGGGCCCAGCCACACCCAGATTTCCCAGTTTTGGCCTCAGAGCCAAGGGAGGACACAGTCAGGCTCCCCCTCCCCGGCCCGTGTGCCTTGTCGCAGCTATGCCCCCCCCGCCCTGCCTGGCATCCAGGGTCAGTCACAAGAGCCCACTGCCTCTCTTTCCTAAACACTTCCTGCCTCCGTGGACTGGCAGTGCATGTAAACAGCCCTCAGCAATTCTGTGATAAGTCCTCTCTGTGGTGGGGACAAGGTCAAGGTGGAGGAGGCCCATGTGGGCAGCGAGTGTGGTGGAAGTACTTGTTGGAAGGTGAAAATGAATGTGACCCAACCTCGTACCCCTCCATGGTCTGGTGACGAAATCCTGCAGAGGGCGACCGAGTGAGGAGCACAGGTGAGTGTGAGTGTGTGGGGGGCCTCGGGGAGCAGGGCTCAGTCACGACTAGACGTGGGGTCAGGGTAGGCCTGGACTACCAAACCCGTGCTGGCGAAGAGATGTGGCTGATGAGAACCAGGTGAGGTTCTGGTTCTTGTCAGCCACGTCTCTCCTGCGGGCCCTTGGTGGGCTGGGCTGGCCCAGGCGCCCTCCTGCAGGGGTAACAGGGTCAAAAGGAAACAAGCAGGGAGCAGGCGGGTGTGTTTGTGGATTTAATGGCAGGGGCTGGCTGTTTCTGCTTTTCCAGTGGTGAGTGGGTGGGCCATGGAGTGCAGAGTTGGGGAGAGCTGGGGGGGGGCAGAGGGGCATCCAGGAGGCCCAAGACACCAGGGGCTGCAGGGCAGCACGGAGGTCCCTTCCAGCGGGTGACCAGGAATGTCGAGTGGCACTGAGACTGGTGTGAAAATGCTTGAGCCCGTCCCCTCAGTTCTGAGGACTTCGCTCACAGCCAGTAGGAGTGTGGGGTTGGCCCCTGGCCCACAGATGCCTGCCCACTGCCCCCCTCTGACATCCCTCACCCCTGCCCTGGGTGGAGGAGCCCAGGACAGATGGGAAAGCCACTCTACTTCCTTCTGTGGGGGCTCAGGCCAGTGGACAGAAGCTGACTCAGGAAGGGCCAGTGGTAGCTAGAGATGGTCACAGCACGAGTCTCGAGTGCTTTGCTAGTGGCGGAATGTACTGGGCCCGGGCTGGCCGGGGGCCGGGAATGTGAGGCTGCTGCCGGTGGCCCTGGAGCACTCCCGATGCGAGACTGGGGTGACAGGCAAGTGGGAGGAACAAAGATGGGGCCGAGGTGGGGGGGTGGGGACCTGGGGCTCAGGGCTCAGAGCTTGTGGGGGTTCACCCACTTGTAGGTGCCCTCGTACTGGAAGCCCACTCTCTTCATCAGATCATCTGCCTCTGCGGGGCCTCGGCTGGGAGAGCGACAGGCAGAGGGGAGCTGTGAGGGTGCCCCGGGGCCCCCGCGAGCCCTCCCCACCGCCCGCAGGCCCCCGCCTGGCCCCTTACCTGCCGTAAACGTAAGGGATGGGCTGGAGCCTCTCGCGCTCGATCTTGTGCAGCAGCGGCGTGAAGATCCGCCAGGCTTCCCGGAGCTCGTCACTGAGGGGACACCGCGCGGCTCTGGGGGTGCTGGCAGGGGCACAGGGCTGCGGCCCTGCCACCTGGAGCCCAGCTCTGCCCCGGTGCACACCCGGGGCCCAGGGGCACCCCTCACCTGCGCACGAAGTGCATCTGGTTCCCGCAGAAGACGTCCAGGATGAGGCGCTCGTAGGCGTCAGGGAGCTTCACATTCTGTGAGAGGAGGCTTCGCGCTGTGGCCGCCCGAGCTTGCCGCCACCGCCCCCCTCCCGGCCCCGCCCGCCCGGGCCAGGCGCCCACCTTATATCTGTTGCCATAGGTCAGGTCTAGCTCGGACTCCTCGGGGTTGAAGAACATGCCGGGCTTCTTGGTCATCATCTTGGTGTACACGGCCTCGTTGGGCTGCACGCGGATCACCAGCTCGTTGCGCTTGCACTGCTGCCGGAAGATGTCGCCGGCCACGTCGCGGAACTGCAGCCGCACCTCGGCCTTGCGCTCGTTCAGTGCCTTGCCGCAGCGCAGGACGAAGGGCACCCCTGCGGGGGGCGCAGTGGCGTCAGGCGGGAGGGGGCGCAACAGGGCGCGGGGGCCGGACCCCGGGGTGGGGGGGGGCACCTACCGTCCCACCTCTCGTTCTCCACGTAGAGCACGACGGCCGCGAAGGTGGCGGTGGTGGACCCGCGGGGCACCGTGGGGTCATCCAGGTAGCCTTTCGTGGACTCCCCCTCTCCACTGGGGTTCCCCACGTACTGGCCCAGGACCACGTTGTCTGCCTGCACCTCAGAGATACACTTCAACACCTTGACCTGGGAGCGAGCCGGGAGAGAGGGGCTCCTTGGGCAAGGGCGGCAGACGTGGGGAAGCTGGGGCACCGCGCACGGCAAGCTTCCTGGCGGTGTGACCAGCCAGCATACACAGGGGGGCACACGCCGTCGGTGTGGCTTGCTGTGCAGAGCCCGTGGCCGTGGCCCTCCCATCCGAGGGCTCCCCAGGACCACCCAGACCTGCCCTCCTTTTCCCCAGAAGGAGAGGCAGCGGGTGAGCCTGGGAGACAGAAGAGCCCCCTGCAGTCCTGGCGGCAGGGGCCAGAAAGGGGCGCGTCAGGGCACCTTCTCATCCCGGACGTCGTCCGAGTCGGTGGAGGCGGGCTTCTCCATGGCCACGAGACACAGCATCTGCAGCAGATGGTTCTGCATCACGTCCCTGCGGAGGGGGCGCAGGCAGGCTCAGCTCGGGGCCTTCGAGCAGGGCCGGAGGCACAGCGGGGCTCAGCAGCTCAGACTGGGCCCTCCAGCAGCAGGCCAGGACATTGGCTTCCTGAGCCCACGTCTACCCCTGGAGGTCCCGCCAGGCAAGGAAAGAGATAGGGACACCCCCCCTTTGCAGCTGACGCTGACTGCTCAGTCACCCACTCGTGAATCTCAATCTTGAGGGAGGAGGAGCCCCCCAGAACAGGGAGCAGTGACCCCGCAGAACAGCAAGATCGCACCCCTCGCCTGTGAAGGGGAGACAGACGCTCACCGGATGATCCCAAATTCGTCGAAGTAGCCCCCACGGCCCTCGGTGCCAAAGGGCTCCTTGAAAGTGAGAATGACGCAAGCGATGTTGTCCCGATTCCAAATGGGGCCAAAGATCCTATTGGCAAACCTGTAGCGGGGGCAGTGTTCAGTGCGCTGCTGTGCCCTGCGGTGCAACGGCAGGATGGGTGGTGCCCCCCGAGTGCCCACCCCATACCCAGCGTCCACCCCCACCCCGCCGCCCAGGCCCGGCCCCACCTCAGCACCATGAGGTTCTGGACCATCTCCTTGCCCAGATAGTGGTCGATGCGGTAGATCTGGTCCTCACGGAACAAGGAGGAGATGTGGTTGGACAGCCTGTCGGAGCTCTGCAGGTCCCTCCCAAAGGGCTTCTCCACAATGACACGGTTCCAGCCACTGCAGGAGCCCAGAGCTGCGTCACCGTCACCCCGCACTCTCCCTCGGCAGCAAGGGCCAGCACCTCATCTCCCCCCAGGTCTCCGTCCTTGAGCAGAGGCAGAAGCTTCCCTCCCTATCTTCATGCTCAGCTGACCCGCAGAGCTCTGCTGGCACAGAGTCCCCAGACCCGAGGACACCTCCTGTCTGCCATGCTCTCCATGCTCCACTGAAAACTTCCTCAGAAGCCCTCCCACCCAGCTGGCTGCTTGCTGGGATGAATGCTCCAGGGCTCCGTCTGGGTGGTCCCGCTCCCTTCCAGCCCCCGGGGGGTCTCCCGTAGGTCAGGACTAGCCCGGGAGCTGGTGGGGGAGCAGGGGGAGGGGATGTCAAGGGCACAGCTGCCTCCACGGATTTTAAAATGGAAGAACGCCCCTTTGTTGGCTAGTCCCCTTGGACAGTTAATGCAGCACTCTGCGTTCAAAACCAGAACGAAGTGAAAGAGACGACCGCGGGTTTGAGAGACAGACAGATGGACTGGCAGAGCCCAGGGGCACCACAAAGCAAAATTCTTGCGGAGCAACACCGCCACCTCGTGGTCACCAAGGGGACCGCGGGAAGCGCAGAAAAACCAGAAACGGACCAGCGTCAGTTTCGTGGAGCAACACCGCCACCTTGTGGTCCTCGCAGGAACAACAGCGAGGGAAAGCTGGATTTCTTGCAAGATGGGCCAGGAGGGTCCTCGGGAAGGTTTCCAAGGCAAGAAGCGCGGTAGCATTTCTAGCACATGCTATTACAAAGCCCCTGTGTTCATGCCCTATTCTCGTCTTTCAAGAGCTAACTCCTGTAGAGAACAGGGGTCACCATCCTTTTCCAACTTGGTGGACTAGCTTGCCCCGGGGACTCTTGGACAACCGCCAGGCCTGGCCACACCAGGACAGGGCACACCTAAGAGGCAGGAAAAAGACAAGCCTTACGTCTGGCTCATGCAGGTCTCGTGGATGTGCTTGGTGACCGCCTCGTAGACCGTGGGGGGCAAGGCCAGGTAAAAGAGGCGGTTGGCCTGTGGCCCCTGCTGGAGGGCGTTCACATGGCTGTTGAGGCGCTCGTAGGAGGCTGCATCATCGTACTGACCAGCCACATAGGAGTTGCGGGCAAAGAACTCCTCCAGCTTGGGCTTCTCCTCTGGTGTGGCCTGAGAAAGATTGACACAGGGACACTGACTCCTGCCTGGCCCTCCCCCACTCATCCTGGCATGCTCCCTCAGAACTCAGTCATTCGAGCACCACACCGGCTTCACCCTCATGTTGTCGGCTTTGCACACCTACGGGGGAGGCCGAGGCAGCACAACACCACATGGGATGGGGCCCAGAAGTCACCTCTGGGGACCCCAGGCCCTGACAAGAAGTCAGATTTCGGGAGGCTGAGACCTGGCTCTCTCCAAAGTCAGGGCGCCAAACCACGGTGTGTTGGGGAAAGGCAGATGTGTAAGACTTTCAGGGTGAAGACACTTTTTTGGCTCCTGGCCCCCGGCGGGGCGTGTATGGGAGGCACAGCAGGGTCGAGATCAGAGGGGAGTTGGAAACAGGGCTCCCAGGCGGGCGGGCTTCCCGCATCTTGCCCTGTGCAGTGGTGTGGCTGGGCGGCATGGCTGCTGTGGGGAAGGCGAAGGGGAGAAGTGCTCCGGGCAGGAGGGGCGCCTGTCCCTCCTGGAGACCCCCAGAAGCCACTCACTTTGAAGAAGGGCTCGCTCTGTTTCCGGATGTCGGCCACTGTGAGGCGGGAGCGGGCGTAGCCCACGACGAAGGTGTCTTCAGGCAGAAGGCCATCCCGGAACAGCCACCTGAGGGCATGGCATGGCTGGGGCCAGGGCGGGGAGGGCAGGGAGGGCTGGGGATGGTGGGACAGTGGGGGGACATGCTTACCAGATGGTGGGGTAGATCTTCTTCTTGGCCAGGTCGCCCTGGGGCGGAGGGAACAGGCGTGGTTAGGAGAAGCTGGGGGCTGGGGGCATGACCTAGATGGTCTCCTCCCCTTCAGTCCGGACGCTGGCTCAGGGTCACCACTCAGCCGCAGGAGGCACCACGACCAGGCCACCTGCCCTGTGACCACACGTACCACTCAGATCACAATCTCTGGTCACAGGGTGAGCAGGCGGAGCCACACCCAGGCCAAACGCCGGCTTCTGAACCGTGCACAGGCTAACGAAGACGACGGAGAGCTCTCAAACCAAAGGGCATGACCTATGGCCTGAGATGCCGCCTTAGCTCAGGCCTAATGAGCTCAGGGCCTGATTTACGAAGTCAGACAAAAGAGTAGAACTTTAAAGCCAACTTTAAAGCCAAACAAATTACAAGGCAGGGAATAATGAAAAATAAAAGTTACTAAAACAGAAAATAGGAGCGCCTGGGTGGCTCGGTTGGTGAAGCGTGGGCCTTCAGCTCAGGTCATGATCCCGGGGTCCTTGCCCCGTGTCGGGCTCCCTGCTCGGTGGGGAGTCTGCTTCTCCCTCTGCTGCTCCCCACGCTCATGTGCTCTCTCTCAAATAAATAAATGAAATCTTAAAAAACAGAACAAAAACAGAAAATAAACCAAAGAAAATATTAAGAAAGCCAAAACCTGGTGTTTTCCAAAGACGAATAAAAACACAACTTTTTTAAAAACTCCAAGAATTCCACCAAAATGGCAGAAACAGGGAACTCCATTCTGGGGCAGACCCTGCCTCTATAACCAGAATATATAACCTGCTCCTGCACCAAAGTAAGAAGACAGCCCCATGGAAAACTGACCAGATTCTAACAAACGCACGAGAAAGTACCCAAGATCATCAGTTGAAGGGAAAAGGCAAGTAAAGCCCCTCGCGGCTGTTTCCCGGTCATTGGGACGTCTGTCACCCGGAAGGCCGGAGACACCAAGCATCAGAGAGATGGAGACACACCCCAGATGCCCAAGTGAGAGATGAAGAGAAAGGCCCTATACGTTCTTTTTTAAAAAAAAAAAATTATTTATTTGACAGAGACACAGTGAGAGAGGGAAAACAAGCAGGGGGAGTGGGAGAGGGACAAGCAGGCTTCCCGCTGAGCAGGGAGCCTGATTCGGGGCTTGATTCCAAGATCCCAGGATCATGACCTGAGCCGAAGGCAGACGCTTAATGACTGAGCCACCCACGCGCCCAGCCCTATACATTCTTAAAAAAATACTGATTTATTTGAGAGAGACACACACACACACACACACACACACACACACACAGAGCACAAGTGGGAGGAGCAAAGGGGGTGGGAGAAAGAGAATCTCAAACAGACTCCGTGCTGAGTGTGCAGTCCAATGTGGGGCTCGATCCCAGGACCCTGAGATCGTGATCTGAGCTGAAACCGAGTCAGACTCCTCACTGTCTGTGCCACCCAGGTGCCCAAAAGAGTCCTATATTGTGATAAAGTTGTGCAACCTACTGCACCATTGAGATTGGTACATTTCAGTGCATTTCAATGCATTTCAACTTTGTCCAAAAAAACCCAAACCCTGAAAAACAATAGTTGAGCAGAGAGTGGGGAGTGGGTGAAGGAAGACACAGAATTTCAGGACGCCTGGGTGGCTCAGTCAGTTAAGTGTCTGCCTTCGGCTCAAGTCATGATCCCAGGGTCCTGGGACTGAACCCCGCATCGGGCTCCTTGCTTGGTGGGGAGCCTGCTTCTCCCTCTGTCTGCCACTCTCCCTGCTTGTGCTCTGTCATATAAATAAATAAAATCTTTCAAAAAAAAAAGAGGCAAATTATCATGGGAACTGGGCAATGGACCATAGCCATTTTGTTGCACCTTTTTTTTGAGAAAGAGAGTGAGACAGTGAGCACGTAGGCAGGGGGAGGGAGAGAACCCCACCAGGCTCCACACTCAGCACGGAGTCTGACACGGGGCTGGATCTCTCAACCGTGAGATCATGACCTGAGCTGAAACCATAAGTCGGACGCTCACCCAACTTGAGCCACCCAGGTGCCCCTCACGGCCCTACGGCATCAACTTTGCCGATGTGTGAAGTTTTCCACAAGCACATGGCAACTTCAAGCAACAAGATGGCAGATCCCAGAAATTCCACAGAGGATGCCCTAGAAAGCATCCCAGTTCGGTCCCTGAGCCACCCCAATATGCTTCAGTTCTGTGAGCAAAGGAACTCTCCAGTCTGGGTGGGAGAGGCAGAGGCAGGAACAGACATAGGCTCCCGAGAACCAGCGGGGCAGGCACCCTTCCATCTGCCCACCCTGTGATCAGGGTGTGGGACGGGCCTGGGCTGCGAACCCACGCTGCTCCGGGCACTGCCGATCAGTGCCGAGACAGTAAGGCAGGCTGGGGCAGGCTGGGGCAGGTTGGGGCAGGCTGGACTGGCCGTAGGCAGAAAAACGGACTCGGGGGATAAGGACGTGAATATTCAATGCAAAACCACCTTTGAGAAGCCACATAACCACTGGATAAGTTCATTTCTATGAACTCTTGGACCTGCAAGCAGGAAGCCCCATGGCCAGAACCAAAGCAGGGCCACCGTGGCTCGACCCCTGCCCCCACCCCTGGGAGAGTGGTTAGGAGGGCCACAGGGGGCCCCGAGTGGGAAGTCCCTTCTCGGGGGGGGAGGCTGCAGGTGCAGGGCTCAGGGGCGCCCTGTGCCTCAAATGCTAGAGTTTCCTCCTGGCCTTTGCTCCACCAAGGCTCCTGGGGTGACCTGCCGTCCTCCCGGGGTTTTAGGTGAGGATGTGCATGTGGGCCCAGCCTTTAGTGAGCACCAAGCCCACACTGACAAGTGTTTCCCGGTCCTCTCTGGGCTCCACCAGGGTCCCCAACTCCTAAAACAGGTGGTTCCCAAGCCAGGGTGGGCTGTCCACAACCGATCTCCCTAGCAGTCTGCAGCGGGTCCCTGTCATCACAGCCACCTTCCTGCAGCTGCTCTCACTGGTACTTCCTGGTCCAACTCCAACCCCCAGCCCAGGGACCCCACTACAGCAGACAGTCAGCGGCCGCCTCTGGCTTCTCCCATCCGCAGGGCTGGAGGGAGACTCTGCTCAGGTCATGTTTGCTTACGATCAAACTCCAGTGGGCTGGGAGGACTCGGGATAGGCTGCGGGCAGCAGACTGGTGGCAGGGACAAGCCTGCTGTCTGCTGAGTCACAGCGCCCAGCACCCCAGGCTGTTTGTTCCTGCGGCCTCCCTTGGGATTAGCTACCGACAGAACCTGCTTGCCTCGTTCAGCTCAGCCCCGGCGCCCAGAGGCCTGCTGGGCTCCAGGTCGTCCAAGGGCCAAGTGAGGTATGACCCAGGACGGTGGTAGGGGTTCCCGCTGGCGGCTCCCCCGCATGGGAGGTGAGCTGGCCAGCCCTCCCCGCTGGCCTAGACCAGACTCCTTTGCAAGAGTGAACATGGGAAGACATGGACCAAACCTCAGCACACCGTGGGGTGGGGGGGCGATCACAGGGTCTCTTGGAGAAATGCGAATCAGAGGCCTCCTGTCTTTCCCAACCCCCTCATTTCCGTCTGAGGGCACAGCAGTGGGGAAAGAGCTGCCTGGGGACATGTGGGGACTTTAGCAGAAGAAGGAGGACCTCTTAAGCTCTCCAGCTACCAGCATCTGTCCCAGCTGGGGCAAAGGGACTTGGGTCACCGCCTGCCTGTTGCCACCTAGTCTGACCGCAGCTTCTAGTTTTATAAGCCCCAAAACACTGTCGACATCTCTGTGAGGATCCGAGGGTGGAGTAGGCAGCCCAGTCCCTCAGAGGCCAGCCGCCAGCTGGAGGCCTGGAGGGGTGGGCCATCCCGGCCCCCAAGGGTCACCTGGGTCAAGGATGTGCCTGGGCTCTTGGGGTGGAGCCTGGGCCCTGGCTGCGGCCCAGCTGGCTCCTGGGAACTGGGGAGAGAGAACCTAGGGGCCGTTGAGGTAAGTTCCCTCCTCCACCCTGGGGTTCATGAATCATCAGGCCTTTGGGGGAAGTGCCAAGGTCATCATGACGCAGCAAGAATCTTACTGACCCAAGGGGCAAAAGCAGTCCAGAAACGTCCCCAAAAGACAGAGGGGCCAGGACTCTCAAGTAACCTGTCACCTAGGTGGACATTGGGACGAGGCCTGAACAGCCATCAAGTCCATGGTCCTTATGGTCCAGGTCGGGAGACTGAGGTCCAGAGAGGTGAGGGCCTTGCTGAGAAGCCTGCCGTGAGCCGGTTGTGCCCACGCAGATTCCCTGTCCTGTTCTCTCCCCACTCCTTTCTCCATCCCCTGTGGGCGGGGGGGAGAGGCCTCTAGCCTGTCCAAGGTTCTATCAGATGGGGGAGGACATGATGTGCGTGGCCCAAGGCTCCCCTCTCCCCAGCTCTGGTCTATAAGGAGAAACTGGTTTCTTTCATTCCAGAGCTTTCCAGACAGGGACATTAAGTATCTCCACTCCCTTCCTGGCTGGGGGTGGGAGTCCTGAAAAGGGGGGCAAGTGGCCACATGGGAGGAACAGAGAGCAGCTCAAAGCCTATTGGGTAACTGTGAGCCAGCATCAGGACGCTCTCAGGAAGGAAGCTGGGCGGGAGAGTGAGGCTTGGGTAAGCAGAGGAGGAATGAGGAAGGGCAGGGGACGGCCATGTGGACCCAGCCTGCTCTGGGGCCTCTGCCACTGGGGGCTCTGCATCTGCTCTGCTCTTTGTGTGGAATGTTCCCTGACCCTGGCTCTGCCTGGGACCTGTGTGCTGGAGGTGGTGGGGGACACAAGGGCCCACTGGTGTTTTTGGTCACATGTGCCACCAGAAGCTCTGATTGGGCTAGGAACTCCCCTTGGGTCCCTTCCCCCCAGCACACAGATCGCATGGGGAAGGTGGGGCCGGCACTCACTGTACTGTAGAGAAGGCACTTGGTCGCTATTTGTTGGATGAATAAGCAGTGAACTTGTGCGTTTCCCAGAAGAGCAGGTCTGGGAGTGCACCCCCAGCACCACTCCGCCTACCTCTTCTAAGTAGGGAGTGGACACCGGAGGCTGGATGGCGGGAGCTGTCCTAGACGCTGCCTGAGCACGGCAGGCCCACCCACCCACCTGGCTCCAGTCCTCTTGAGCGGACGACTCAGGACAGGGGGTCCCCCCCCACTCTCCACTTCTGCTCTGGAAGGGTCTGGCTGTCACTCTCAGAGCAGAGGAGAGCAAAGGGGAACCCTACCAGTTGCAAGGAAAAGTTGCTCAACGTCGAGCCGGCCACAGGCAGAGGCACTGACCACTCAGAGAATGAGCTCAGCCCGAGGTCCCTTGACATTGGTTTCAAAAGCCCTCATTTGCTCTGCAGAAACACTGAGGTGCAGAGGAGGGCCGCTGGCCAGTCATGCGGCGAGCTTGGGTGCTCTCAACAAAGCATCTGAGGAGGTGACATCCCAGAGTCCTAGATCATTTTTGTGGCTCGTGGCCAACATAGGTTAGGGTTAGAGGAGCACACGCCGGGGCCAGGGTAGAGATGAAGGCTGCTCCCCTCCAGCCCATGTCCCTGTGTCCCCCTACTCTAGGAGTTACAGAATCAGGAGATAGTGTTGGCGGTGGCCTACCTTCCTTCCCTCCCTCTGGCTCTCTGGCAGAGCCCCATCTCACCCCCAGCACTGCCTGCTGCCTCCTGCTCTCCTTTGCGGAGTTCTCGTTGGAATCACCAAAGTTGGCGGGCGCAGGCTCTGTCTACACATGAACTAGGACACATGAACTAGGAACCAAATTCTGCCAGAGCTAAGGGGACCGTGACATGGATGGCGCAGAGAGATAATGCCCACTCCGCCAAGAGCTCGATAGTTCTGGTGGAATTCTTGCTTAAGCTTATATGACAGGTTACGGGCAGAAAGGGCCACAGGATGGTTAGCAGGGTCCTGCTCATGCTGAAGGTGAAGACGAAGAGCTCCACTAGGACTGCCCTCCCTCTCCTGTCCCCCCATCACGTGTGGTCTGTGTGCTATACCTGTGCCTTCGCTTCTATCCTTTGCTCTTCTAGAACAAAGTGTCAATTCCACAGGCTGAACAATGGGATGGGGTGGGACAGGTCCTAGCTTCTCAGCGGGCCTTGGGAGCTGGGGTAATGACACGGTACTCAAAGGAAGGGCGAATGTTTGTTCCCAGGGAACTTGTGATACAGACAGAGAAGGCGGAGCTCGGGCCTCAGAATGTGCCTTTGCAACTCACTGTGTGACACCTACCAAGCCAGAAACAGGTGCGAAAGAGATACAGAATGAATGGCCTGCCCTGTGCGCAGTTTGCCCTGTGGAGGAAGAAGTCCAACGAGAGAGTCTCTAAAGTCTTCCGCGCACAGATTGCAGAACAGCCTGGCAAGGATGCATACTGGGTGGTACTGGGATGGTAGTGGCAACTGAGCAGAGCCCCTGGGGCCTCCAGACAGTGGGCTGGGAAAGCCCAGGCACTCAGCAGGTAGGGACCCGAGGCAATGTCACCCTCCAAGCCTGGGGGAGACTCACCGATGCACCCATGATGATGAAGATGTGTGTATCAGATTGATGGAAGGCATTGCCTTGGTACAGCTCTTCACGCAGGATCCCGCACACCTGGGTCCGGCTCAGGGCCACCTGCTCTGCCATGATGCTCTCTGGTTAAAGAAAGACTCGTTGACAAAGCAGGAAAACAACAGAGCATGGGGAAGTTGGCCAATTTCTGCAGGGGTCCTTTGGGGTCTCACCCAAAGATGCCTGCTTATTGAAATCCCTTCCTGAATGGCAGGGAAACAGGATGGTTGGGGGCTTAGAAAAGTGCAGGCTCTGGGCTCCCAGCAGAGTCTCCAAGAGGCTTTATTTCACAGGATTACTAGGGGATCCCAGCTAGAGCCTCAGCTCTGCGAGACCAAGTCAGGCTGCTGGAGCACGGCGCAACCTGCCCAAGCCACCTCTCCCCAGACGCCAGCGCAAACTCCTCAAGGAGCTGGATGGAGCACGTTAGAGGGGGTGCCGAGTACGGAGCGCAGGCCGGGAGACGCCGGCGAGTCACCACCCCTCTCAGGGTCCCCGTCTCCTCGGGGGGTCCAACGGAGGGATGCAGGGGACACTGGGACCGGTTAAACCCTCTCGATTTTGCCCCGCTCCCAAGCCTGGCAAATCAAACGGCCTCGCGGCACAGCACGCTCCGCGGCGGGCGCGGCGCCTAGCCACTACGTTACCTGCGCCTCGCCGCCGTCGGACGCCGCGCTCCCAGCCTCCGAGTGCCCGGCCGTTTCCGGGGGCTGCGCCCCGCCGCCTCATTTAAGCAGCGGGGGCGGGGGCCTGGGCTGAGCTGACCGGCCTCAGGCGAGGCGCGTGGGCGGGGCCTCAGCGGCTCCTTGCCCCGCGGGCGGGGCGGAGCCAGGGCGCGCAAGGGCGCGCGCGCGCGTCCACGCCCTCCCGCCCTCCAGCGGCGTCAGGCTCCCACCCTCGACCCGCCCCGCCCCTTGGGCACCTGCGCCGGTCGCCCGGCTGCCGGGCGCCTTTTCTCCCCGCTGCCGCTGCGCCGCGTCCTCGGTACCTCGCGCGTCCCCGTGCAGCTTTGCACCGTTCGCCCGCGTACCCATCGCTGGCTCGGCCCAATCCTACAGTCCAGTTTTCTCGCCCGGCGCGGGCGGCCCTGCGCCCTCGCGGAGGGCTTCACTTCCGCTGGCAGTGTGTCCACGCCTCCTCGACCCTGTTCCTGGGCGGGGCCTTCTGCAGCTCCGTGGGGCTCTCATTAGCTCCTCCCCTGGTGGGGGCGGGGCGGCCCGACATCCGAGAGATGAGGAGGAGAGTGAGTTGCGACGCCCCCCCCAGAGTAGCAAGTGCTGCGTATCATGAGGAGCGTCCTGTGGGCAGGCCAAGGCTGGCGGACTCGGGCTGCCCTCTGGAACAGCGTCTTGCACAATTCTGCCGGCTCCCGTGCGGGGGCGGGGCTTGCAAGTTTTACTTCCGGATCCCACAGCTACGACACCGGAAGCCGGAAGTGTGAGTTTCGGCAGCGCCAGAAGGGAAGGGTGACCGCAGAACCCGGACTTTCTCGGAGCGCCGGGGCCTGAAGAGTGCTCGCGGCTCACCGTTCTCGCCCTTCTCACGTCGGACCGACTCTGCTGACAGGTGTGGTCCTCTTTCCGAACACAGGGTACTACTGGTGGGCATTTTGCCGCCTCCGAAACTTCCCCGGACTTTCGAGTTTACCCCTCCTGTTGGGCGGTGGCCCATTTCTGCCGCCTGCTTTTACAGCACTGGCCAAAGCGGCCCGATGCAGGAGGCGACTTACCTTGGCGGCAAGCGGGACTGTTTCCGCCTCTCTCTCTCCGCCACCGTTGCGGAGTCTGACCACACCCCTGCTTCGTGGATGAATCTTTAGTTCGGAGACATTTTCTGCTCATCAAACTTGACTGCATTCGGGATTGTTAAATTCTTTAAAAAGGCCCCAAATATGGTTGGTCCCAAATATAGCACCTGTGTATCTTACTTCATGTGTCTCAGTTTGCTCACTTTGCAGCAACGATTTACATACCCGACCTCAAACCGTTTCTGTGACTGGAGGGCGCATGAGCCATCCTGGCATGTTTGAGGAGCTGCAGGGAGGCCACTATATAGCTGGGGCAGAGTGAGCGGGGGGAAAATACTTGCAGAGGAAGCGACGAGGGACCAGATAATTCAGGGGTTTGCAGGCCGTCTTGGGGCCTTTGGCTTTTACACGCAGGGTAATGAGGAACTGTGGTAGGGAACAGTGTAGAGGACGGACAGGATCGGAATTACTTTTTAGGGTGATCTGGTCCCTGTGGGAAGAACAAATTATAGGGGCAAAGGTACGAGCATGCTTAACTGTCAGGAGATTATCCCAGTAATCCAGATAAGTGTGCTTTGAGCATTTTATTATGAAAAATTTCAAAGGAAAATTTCAAAGACATACAAAAGTAGAAAGAATAGTATAGTAAATCCTATGTCCTCACTTCCCAGCTTTGACAGTTGTCAGCTCATGGCTAATTTTGTTTAATTTATACCCCTCACAATCCTCTTCCTTCATTATTTTCCATAACAGCTTTATCGAGATATAATTCTCATACCATATAATTCACCCATTTAAAGCGTACAGTTCATGACTCCAAAAACCCGCTTGCCTCCTTTGCTGTCACTGCATTGCCGCAGCTCTCCCAGCTCTTAAACTCTTAAGCTCCATCAATCATTCTGTTTCTATGGATTTGCTTTTTCTGGACAGCTCATATAAGTAGAATCATACAATATGTGTGGTTTTTTGTGAGTTGCTTTTTTCTTTCAGTGTCGTGTTTGCGAGATTCGTCCACCTTGTAGTGTGTGAATGTGATTTTGTTTACTCATCAGCTGATGGACGTTTGGGTCATTTCCACGCTTTGGCTGCTGTGAGTAATACTGCTTGGAGCATTTGTGTGTGCACATGGGTTTTTGTTTCTCTCAGATACCTAGGAGTTCCCATATTATTTTGAAGCAAACTTCTGACACCGTATCATTTCACCTGTAGATATTTCTAAGATACTTCTTAGATATTTCTTTAAGAAAGGATTAAGAAACAACCGCAACACCAGTATGCCACTTAAACACGTAACATTAATTGCTTACTGTCATCAAATAGATTTTGGGGTACATTATGACAGGATTTCCTGATGCGTTAGATGTGAGCTGTGAGACAAGGTGAGGTGGGGGGTCCAAAGGGATTCTGAGGTTTTTGTCCAGTACCTGGACATCAGCTGACAAGAAGGAGGGTTGTGGGTGGAACTGGCTTTAGGAAGCCGTCAGGAGTGCAATTTTAAGGTTAGTTTTGAGTACATTACCAGGTAGCCAAGTGGAGATGTTGAGTTTTCTATGTGTCTGGAATTCAAGAAGGAGGTCTGATTTGGGGTGTTGTCAGCATGAAGATGGGGTTTAAAGCTGTGAGGCTGAACCAGCTCTGTACCGCAGTGACTGCAGGTAGGGAAGAGACCCCAGAACAGGACCCAGGAGCACCACAACGTGATCAGGCGGTGTGGTGAGGAAGAAGGGGCCTGAGCATTAGCAGCCAGTGAGCCAGGAGAGTGGGCTTTTCTGGAAGCCCAGGGAAGGATCACTGGCTCATCACAGACTGCTCACGGGTTCATAGAGGGCATTCAGTGGAGCAGGAACAGTTCATTCAGCACTGAAGCTGTCCTCTCTCAGCTCCTGCAAACTCGTATTGGGATCAGCCTCCTCCTCTGGGTAGGCTGCCTTCTTGGGCAGAATTTAAAAGGGCTTCCAGGCTAGTGCCGGCCCATAAGGCCGACTTCTGTAGTTCATAAGAGAATGTACACAACTCTGCCTGGCTCTCTGCTGTGTTGTCTTGGGCTATGAGCCCACGTCCCATTCTCAGATTCCTCAGCATGCGTCAGATACTAGATATCCCCTTCAGGCCCTCAGTTCAAGTGAACACTCACCAGGTTCTCAGTGGTGTCCTTGAAGCCCATCTTACTAGACAGATTAAGTTCTTAGAGCTGCTATGACAGAGAACCACAAGCCGACTGGCTAAGACAATAGACCTTTATCCTCTCCCAGTTCTGGAGGCCAGAAGCCTGAAATCAAGGTGTCTTCAGGGCCACGCTCCCTCTGCAGGCTCTGGAGGAGGATCCTTCCTGCCTCTTCCAGCTGCTGGTGGCTCCAGTCCTTCCTTGGTTTGTGGCCATATCGTTCTCGTCTCTGTCATCATGTGGCCTTCTCCTGTGTCTGTGTTTCTTCTGTCTCATAAGGACACTTGTCATTGGATTTAAGGCCACTCTAATCCAGGATGATCTCATCTCAAGATCCTTCCCTTACTTGCACCTGTAAAAAAACCTTTTTTCCATACAAGGACACTTGTCATCAGATTTAAGGCCACTCTAATCCAGGATGATCTCATCTCAAGATCTTTCACTTATTTACATCTGTAAAAAAACCCTTTTGTCCATACAAGGTCACATTCACAGGCTATGGGGGTCAGGATGTGGACATACCTTGCTGGGATTCTGATTCAATGCACTACACGAGGTACTGAGCTGATATCTTCACTCCTGCTTGGAGGTGTATGTGGCACATAGGACTCACGGCATGCTGAAACCTCCCCACAAAAACAATCCTCTCCGTAAGTCCCCCCTCTCGTGAGATGCTTACCTTGACTTTACAGCCTGGAGGTAGGTCCTAGGTAGAGTTTATAACAAGTGCTGAACCACGGCCTTTCTGACCCCACGTATGGGCCTGCAACTGCCTTTGGAATGAGAGGATATGCCACCTTGTAGATGGGAAAGCCTGTCTTGGGTTCCTGTTAACACCTGATAAAGTGCTCAGTGTTCTGCTTAAAGCGTGGCCCCAGAACTCCCGCACAGACTACACTCCTTGCCCTGCAAGGTAAGAGAATTCTGCAAGGGTCTCATGGGACACGTCTGCTCCCTTTCTCCTCCAGGCCCTGACTTGTTGGATGAGCAGGCCCCCCTGGAAGAGTCCGCCGTGTGAGATGGTGCAGCCCAGTGGCGGCCCGACAGGGGACCAGGACGTGCTGGGTGAGGAGTCTTCTCTGGGGAAGCCGGCCATGCTCCACATCGCTTCTGAGCAGGGCACTCCCGAGACCTTCCAGCGCTGCCTGGAGGAGAATCAAGAGCTCCGAGGTGAGGAGGGCGGCAGGTGTGCCGAGTCAGATGTCACAGGTCCCAGCCTTGCTGGGGGGGGAGGCTTCATTCATTCCTCTGCCTGTGTTTTTACCGGGTCTGGGGTGGGGGTGCCCCTGAGAGCCAACTAGTGATTTGAACTCAGCCACTCTCCCTTTGGGTTTCAGGTGGGCTCCCTGGAAGTGGACCGTGAGGGTTAGATGGCTGTGTGGGAAGTTTTTTTGAGAGCGCTCAGAGGACCCGCACCCAGGAAGGGGAGGACAAGGGAAGAAGTGGGGGTGGGCCCAGGGAGAAGCTGGGCTGAGGTGCAGGCTGACCCCGCAGGGAGCTCTGGAGCTGGAGTGACCTTCTGAGTTGTCCCAAGTCGGGCTGCCTGTGGTGGGCCTTGTCCGTCTCCATCCTGATCTGTCCAGAAGTGCGTGGCCGTTCTGGGAGTGGCCCTGCGGCTCCCGGGGAGGGGGCGTGGGCTGCCCTGGGACAGACCTGTGGGGGTGGCGGTTTCTGGTGCCTCCAGTGTGGGCGGGAGCACGGACCAGGTGGTGGCTCCTAGAACCATCCGGTTTCTGTGTTCACCTTGATCTGCACCCGCTCACCTGCCACCGTCTCACTTGCTTGGGGGGCGGTGGCTTCTTCAGCTCCCAGAGGCCTGCACCGCGCCTCTCAGGCGGCTGGCTGCCCTTGAGTGGGGCATATCTGTGGCCGCCCTGCAAGTGACAGCATCCCTCCCACCGTGAGCCTGCTGAGACATCTGGGGGGTGGTCCTGGCCAATCGCTTGGTGTCGAGCAGCATCCCTGGCCTCTCCCACTAGATGGCAGTAGCACTCTTCCAGTTACCACAACCAGCACCGTCCCTAATGTTGTCCAGTGTCTTGCTGTGTTGGGGTCACATAGAGCTGGCAGCCAGGTTGGGGGTGGGGAGACAGCTCAGCTTGCACAAGGATGTGTGTGGGCTCTGCTGGGCGCCAGGAGGGTGCTCCAGCAAGAGGGGCTTGGGGGCAGGAGTGGGAGGCCCGCTGCAGAGGGCTCACGGCCCCGCAGGCTCCCTGGTCACGGAGCTTTTAAAGCGGCACCCTCCAGCCGCGCGGCCTGAGCTGAGGATGTGCGGTGCGTTGGCTCTGCACCTCGCCATCAGTGGGTGCTGTGTGTCATGCCCTGGGTCACTCCTGGGGCACTGAAGGTGTCTGCCCCCAGCGACGCTCAGGATTGTGCCCAAGAAGGGCACAGGGGAGAGGACATAGACTTTGCTTGGAATGTCAGGGGGCGGGGAACCTCATGGAAGAGGTAGCATGTAGCTGGGGTAGGAGTCCACTTCTGTGACGTGTCCAGGAGAGGCGGATCCAGAGAGAGAAACAGAAGCATGAATTCCACAGGCTGGGGGTAATGGTGAAGTGCCTGTGAGTGGGTTCTGGTTTTTTGGGGAGCGGTAATGGAAATGTTCTGGAACTAGCTAGAGGGGATGAGTGCATAGCTTTGTGAATAGGTAGAAGCCACTGAAATACTGTGTACTTTAAAATGATGAATTTGATGTGATGTGAATTTTGTTTCAATAGAAAAGGAAGTTGCAAGTGAGTTGAGGCTTTGGTGGGGGCTGGGCAGAATTGCAGCAGGTGGAGGGCGGAGGTGGGTGGGGGAAGCCCGCCTGAGGCGGGAGGCCCCTGTGTAAGGGCCACAGTCTGCTTTGCTCCCCTGCGGGGAAGGGGTCACGTGGGGACAGAACATGCAGACCGTGTCTGTGGCGCTGGCCTCAGACGCCACTGGGGTTCATCAGGGTTTTGACCAGAGAGTGACATGAAGCTACTGCCCATTGCCATCTTGAAGAGTTCCGTGGTTGTGAGAGCCTTCGTGTGTCACCGAGCAGTTCGGTCACCGTCCATGTTCTTCCACTGCCCAGGGTGTGCCTGGGCGCGGGGCTCTCCTTTCCTCAGCCTCTGCCGACTGCCTGGCCTTGGCACACACTCATCCCTCAGCCTGGTGGGAGGGGGCCTGGCTGTTCTGTGACCGATCGCTGTACCCTGCTCCTGGGAGTAGCTGTGTTAGCCCCGTCGAATGTGCCGAGGAGGACGGGGAGGCTCTGGGAGGCTCTGGGAGGTCAGTCACTGCGCTGCTCGGAGCCTCCTGGGCCTCCCAGGCTGCAGCTGGCCATGTCACAGGGCGCTCTGCGCCCGTGGCCGTCCCGGGGTCTGCAGGTAGCCCCGGGTTCCTGGTTCCGAGGGTAATGACCGAGCGCCTGTGCCTGGGGCGGGAGTACAGACGAGCTCCAGGTGCTTAGAGAGGGGGCGCCCTTGGCACATACTCAAGGGAAGCTGAGGTGTTTGGTCTCTGGAGAAGTTGATGGGCTTCGTCACTAGGGTGAGTCAGTGGATCGTTTGGAACGGGCGCGGCAGAACGGGAGGAAGCGCTGCAGGGCCGGCTGGGCGGCCGGTGGCCCCGGCCCTGGGGAGGGGCCGCCCGCAGCTCTCACCGGGTCCTCTTCTCGGCCGCCAGACGCCATCCGCCAGAGCAACCAGGTGCTGCGCGAGCGCTGCGAGGAGCTGCAGCGCTTCCAGGGCAGCCAGAGGAAGGAGAAGGAGTTCCTCGTGCAGAAGTTCCAGGAAGCCCGGAAGCTGGTGGAGAGACTGAGCCTGGAGAAGTGCGAGCTGCGGAGGCAGACAGAGCAGGCCCTGCAGGAGGTGGAGCACCTGAAGCGCTGCCAGCAGGTAGCGGGGGCGGCGATCGGCGGGGCCCGGCGCCCCGCGTTCCGGGAACACAGCCCCGCCCCAGCACCCACCAGCTCGGGGCTCCGCGAGGAGGGTTCGCAGAGCGCAGAGGGGCCGGGCCGCGGCTCCTGGTCGCGGAGCTCATGATGGTGTGAGCACACGGGTCGGAATCGCCAAGGACGCAGGGGGCGCAGGGCCGCAGGGCCGCAGCCGGGACGGAGCAGGCGGCAGCTCCCGGGGCCCCTGGCCGGCGGGGGCGTGGGCCCGGCCGTTTCTCCCGAGGCCTGGGGGTGGCGGCCCGCCCCGCCCGCCACCAGGGAAGCCTCTCTGAGCTGTGCTGTCGGGGGACTTGAGCGCGGGGTCGTGTCCTCCCAGACACGAAGCTGAGAGTGTGGCCCAGCTCCGCCCCACCAGGAGTCATGTGCTCAACAGAGATGGCCTGTCATGGCGCTCTGGAAGGAGTGTACCGGGTGCCTGGGGCGACCCTGACAGGGGACCCCAAACTGGGCGGCTAAAGAAAGAGACCTGTATTGTCTCCCACTTCTGGAGGCCGGAAGCCCGAGAGCAAGACGTGGGCAGGGTTGGTGCATTCTGGGGGCCCCAAGGGGAGAACCTATTCTAGGCGGCTTTCCCAGCTTCGGGCTGTGCCTGTACATCTATCCCTCTGCGTCTCTCTCTGTTGTCACATCACCTCACTGTGTGTCTGTATGTCTCTCCTCCTCCTCTTTTTTCTTTTTTAAAAGATTTTATTTATTTATTTGACAGAGATCACAAGTAGGCAGAGAGGCAGGCAGAGAGAGAGCGGAAGAAGGAGGCTTCCCACCGAGCAGGGAGCCCGATGCAGGGCTCGATCTCAGGACCCTGGGATCATGACCTGAGCCCAAGGCAGACGCCTAACAACTGGGCCACCCAGGCACCCCGAGTCAAAGTCATTTTGTGCCGATTTCGTGTGTATTGCAGTCATTAGATCCTTCCCTCCAGCATGACTAGATCGTAACTTGATTGTGTCTGCAAAGCCCTGTCTTCTTGTCAGGTCCTATCCGTAGGTACTGGAGGTTAGGATGTGGACGTATCTTCTGGGCGCCACCATTCAGCCTCTCCTAGGCTTGAACAGGTGGCCTCAGGGCTCTTTGCTAAATGCCTTCAGAGCCTCCCCGCTTGCCCCGCCTGCATCGAGGGGTGCTGGCCTCACAGCTGACAAGTCCGCCAGTGGTGGCTATCAGAGCAGACGTGGCTTCATGTCGCTGGTGGCAGTGTCAGCTGGTGGCCCTACTTGGAAAAACGAGTCGGCATTTTCTCTTCAAGTTGCAAATGTGCTTGCCCCTGACTCAGCAGCCTCCCAGCAGGTGCACCTGTCTAAAGAGCCTGGCACCGAAACCTGGGCCTGGTGCAGGAGAAGCTGGTAGAACCATAGGGTGGAAGTTTTTTAATAACAGCTTTACTGAGATAAAAGTCACATACCGTAAAATTCATTCTTTTAAAGTACAGAATTGGGGTGCCTGGGTGGCTCAGTGGGTTGAGCCTCTGCCTTCGGCTCAGGTCATGATCTCAGGGTCCTGGGATCAAGCCCCGCATCGGGCTCTCTGCTCAGCGGGGAGCCTGCTTCCTCCTCTCTCTCTGCCTGCCTCTCTGCCTACTTGTGATCTCTCTGTCTCTGTCAAATAAATAAGTGAAATCTTTTTTTTTAAAAAGTACAGAATCCATGGCTTTTTGGTATGTTCATAGACTTGTATAACCATCACCACTCTCTGGTTCTAGAATATGTTCATCCTTCCCCCCACTGCCCTGCAGAGAAACCCCGGCCCCATTAGCCAGTACTCTGCACCCTCTCCCTCAGCCGCCGGCACCGTCCAGTCTGCTTTCTGTCTCCGGGTTTGCATCTTCTGGGAATTTCACACAAATGGAATCCCATGGGATGTGCCCCTCACATCTGGCTTCTCTCATTCAGCATCAAGATTTTGGGGGTAATGCTGCTATGTACTTTTTAAAAGTTTTATTTATTTATGTAATCTCTATACCCGGTGTGGGGCTTGAACTCATGACCCCGATATCAAGATTCACATACTTCTCCAACTGAGCCAGCCAGGTGCCCCCAGTAGTGCTGGTGTGAATCTTTGGGTGTGGATGCGTGTTTTCGTTACCAGGGACACACCTGGAGTTCCCCTGTTAATTTGAAGCAAATTCTAGACACCATATGATTTCATCTGTAAACATTTCAGCGTCTTTGTTTAAGAAAGGGCTTAAAAGAGAGATAACTGCAATACCACTGTCACATCTGAAATAGTTAACATTCTTTGTTTGGTGTCCTCAACTAGACACAGTATATATATTTTTTAACTTTATTTATTTGATGGAGAGAGATCACAACTAGGCAGAGAGGCAGGCAGAGAGAGAGAGAGGGAAGCAGGCTCCCTGCTGAGCAGGGAGCCCGATGCGGGGCTCTATCCCAGGACCCTGAGACCATGACCTGAGCCAAAGGCAGAGGCTTTAACCCACTGAGCCACCCAGGCGCCTGACAGCATTTCCTGGTGTGTTAGATGTGAGTGAGACAGAGGGAGGAGTCAAGGGGAACACCGAGGTTTTTGTCCTTGTAGCTGGAAGATGGATTTGCCATCAGCTGACAGGAAGGGGGGCTGTGGGTGGAACTGGCTTCTTGTAGCTGTCGGGCATGCTGTTTCTGAGGGCACTGCTAAATATCCAGGGGACACGTTGATGTGACAGGCCAAGTGGGGGGTGTTTGCACTGTTCAGTGGGGAGACCTTTGCTGAGGTGCATTCTAGTAAGGACCAGAACACAGTGAGGGGCTGAGCCACATGGGGTATCTGAGGAAAGCCTGTTTTAGAGGCAGGAGGAGCATGTGCAAAGGTCCTGAGGTAGTGACATGCCTGTCATTTTCAGGGCACACCAAAGAGGCAAATGTGGCTGAAGCTGTGTGAAGGTGGCTAAGGGGTAGGCGGGGAGAGTCATGGTAGGGGCTGGTAGGGGCAGGTTATGTGGGCTTAGTAGGGCCAGTGGGAAGATTGGGGCTTTGACCCAAGCGTCACAGGAACAGTAGGGGCTGCTGTGCTAGTGTGAGACATTATCTGGTTTCCTGTTGACTGTAGAGTATGGGGTGGGTATTATGGGTTGGAGTTGTGTGCCCCGAAAAGGAATGTCCACATCCTAAACCCTGTACCTCAGAACATGATCTTATTTGGAAATAGGGTCTTTGCAGAAGTAATAAAGTTCGGATGTGGTCATACTAAATCCCATGATCGCTGTCCTTAGGAGAGAGAAACAGACACGGAGACATCCAGGGAAGAGCCTTGTGATGATGGAGGCAGAGAGTGGGGGGTTCCCCTCAGGCCCCTCAGAAGGCGCCAGCCCTGCCTTCGCTTGCTCCTGGACTTTAGAGTGACAGTATGTTACTGTTGTCTTATGGTCCCCATCTTGCAATCCTTTATGGAAGGCCCAGGAAACTCCTCCAGGTGCAGGAGTGGAGGAGGGCCCAGGTGGAAGTCCTTCCAGCCCCCGGTGAGGCTGGCCAGAGTGGGTACTGGCCCATAGGATCTGTTGGCAGGCCTAGGCGACGCGGAGTGCAGGGCAGGTAGCTGGATAGCTAAGCTGAGGCCCCTGAGAAGAGTCTGTCTTGGAGGTGTGACTTGGCCAGCGGCCGACCTGCAGGGGTCCGGTGGGCCTGGAGACGAGACCAGTGCCTGGAGATGCAGAGCAGAAGGGAAGGAGTGGCAGGCATGGTGTGTGCCTGTGCGCTGGAAGCCAGGGCAGGGGCATGGAGGGCAGGAGTGGCGGTTTCCCGGGGGAGGTGGGGGGGGTCTGGCCATGGGGGACTGAGGCGCCGACTCTGGGCTTGAGCCGCCTAAGGTAATGGGGGACCTGGCCTGGACAGTGGGATAAGGGAGACTGGCCATTGGGGGTTTGGGCAACTCTCGAGTTTTGGCCCTGGTAGAGAGCCTTCTGGAAAGTGGCCGGCCATCTTGGCTCTGGTAGCCTCGGCTTGTGGACGGGAGCTTGCATGTTGACGTTGTCTTCAGGTCCAGACTCCCTTGGCACCGCGTCCTGCTGGGCTCTGTCCTTACAGCCTGCTTGTCAGCCTCGTGAGCTGCAAGGCGACTCTGTGCCTATGTCTGCAGGGATTGGGGGGGCATCTGGGAGTGTGGGGTCATGGGACTTGGGAGGCTTCTGGAGGTGAGCGGTGAGGTGAGCGGTGGTGACATGTCTTCATCCCTGCCTGCTGCCCCGGGGCTCGGAGGTGCCAGGGGTGGGCAGCTGGTGAGGAGGCATCCCTGATAGGAAGTGGCTTTTTTTCACGCAGCAGATGGCTGAGGACAAGGCTTCCGTGAAAGCCCAGGTGACATCCTTGCTGGGGGAGCTCCAGGAGAGCCAGAGTCGTTTGGAGGCCGCCAACAAGGAGCGGCAGGCTTTGGAGGGCAGGTGAGTGTGGAGGTACCCGAAGGCAGGGAGGCATCTTCAGAGCCTCCAGTGAGTTCCTCTGTCCAGGCACAGGGACCACCATCAAGAAGGGAACTGTCATGCTGGCCTGGGGGCCTCGGAGCCGCCTGCTGCCCACGTGCCGCCTGATGGCTGGGTTTGCGAGTGGCCTGCCCAAGTCGGCGGCCGGCCGGCTGCTGCTTGCTGCCACGTGGCTTCCCGCAGGCGGCTTGGGCGGGTCAGGGCAGGCCGTGTTCCTGGGCTCTGCTGCCACCGGGGCGCTGCCCTCCAGAGAGCAAGGCGGGCCCGCCCGACGGCGGGTGCTGCTCTCCGGGTGATGCGTGACGGGGGCGTGCTGGGCCGAGCGCCGCGGCCTTCCCACGGGAGGGGAGCAGAGGGGAGAGGGCGGGAGCGAGTCCTCCCTAGTCCGCGACCAGCGACAGCACGTGGACGTGCTTTGGTCTGGAAAACAGGGTGGGAGGAAAGGCGTCGTTCTGGCCTGGGCCTGCTCACCTTTTCCGTTTTCCCGTGGACTCCTGCGTGTCTCCAGCTTTCTGAAATCACATGCATCACTTTTAGGACAATTGGGCATCTTTTCTGCCTGTGTTTTTCTGTGTACATGAAAGAACCCGCTAGAGGCAACTTGGAGCCATTCGTGACACCATGAGGACATTTATGGCAGCACCTGTGGGTTCCTGGGCAGTGTCCGTTTGTGTCCTTCCCCTCACGATGGGCCCTAGATGTGCTGAGCTGGCCAGCTTGGACACAGAGGCCTTGCTGGGGTCTCAGGGCACTTGGTGTGGCCATTCGGAGAGCTTTCTGCTTCACACAGACACACATAGAGGCCCCCAAGCCCTGGGCCTGTCCTGTTGTCCCCCTTATTCCAGGGCACCGGGCGGACAGCAGTTCCATCTGGTGATGGCAGTGTCGGAAATGTGCTCAGTGTATTTGGACAGGTGCAGAGGAACAGCGAAACCAGTGGTCATTCCCGGCAGTCCCTGTCGCCTCTGCAGTAGGGACTGTGCTGGGTTTTGGGCCAGCAGGGCGACGTGGCCAGAGCCTTGGACTGGAGATCTGGGGAATTGTAGGAACATAGGAGAGCGGAACTTGGAGACTGGGGGCTGTGGGTGATACAGCTCCGAGGATGCCAGGCTGTGGCGGCCATGGTCGTGGCCAGGCGGGTGGGAGGCTCCTCTTCCAGGTCTGTGCCTTTGGGACTGCAGCTGAGCCATTGAGCTTGTAGAACAGGGACTGGGAGGGAAGGAGTCAGCCCCAAGCCAGGCTCTCTGCGGTTGTCCAGTGTTCGGTAACCAGCTTCCATCTTCCCCTGCTGTGGGCTTGGCTGGGTGCGCCGGAACCCTGCTGTGACCGTCCCCTTCCACGCCAGGGCTCGGGCGGCCAGCGAGCAGGCGCGGCAGCTGGAGAGCGAGCGGGCGGCGCTGCAGCAGCAGCACAGCGTGCAGGTGGACCAGCTGCGGATGCAGAGCCAGAGTGTGGAGGCGGCCCTGCGCATGGAGCGCCAGGCAGCCTCGGAGGAGAAGTGAGTGGCCCGGGCCCGTACGAGGACACCAGGGCCCCACGGGCCTCCCCTCCCCCCCAGCCCCCATGTGACCCGGCTCTGAGACGGGGATCCGTGCTCTCCAGCCCATGCTCAGGTCCTCCCGCGTGGCTGCCATGTGGCCTGCATCGGGCCACCTTCGAGTCTCCTCTCGTCCTCAGCTGCTCTCCCGTCCGCCTCTGCTTCTCATGGGGCTGTTCCACCTGATTCTAAACGGTCCTTGTTTCGAGGAACGGTAGCCTTAACACAAAGCGTGCTCACCGTGTGCCGAAGCTGGTCCGAGGGTCCATGCGGCCTGTGCTGGGGACAGGCACCGAGGGGGTGGGCTTGCGAGTGGAAGCGCGGTGGCAGAGCACAGGGTGCTTATTTCTCCAGCAAAGGCTCCTCTTCCGCAGGCGGAAGCTGGCCCAGCTGCAGGTGGCCTATCACCAGCTCTTCCAGGAGTACGACAGCCACGTCAAGAGCAGCACGGTGAGCAGTGAGCGAAACAGAGTGCCTGTGGTGGGCACGTCCCCGGGACTGGCCACCACGGACGTGCCTCGGTTCCTCTCCTTGCTGCCGAGAAACACAAGGGCCCGGGGAGCTGCTGCCCCGAATTTAGAACTGTCGGATCACGAGTTCTTATCTGAAGACTTGAGAGAATTGTGTCAGAGCTTTGTCAGGGTCACAGTGTGACAGCTCAGGGCGGGACGTGGGGCCGACCGGGTGGGCCTCTGGGTGCTCTCTCTGTGGGTGGGGGACACGCTTGTAAGGGGATAGCATTAGTGCGGGACACCAGCTCCCATGGAGGAGGATGGCCTTGTCCCTTGAGGGGCTGGAGGCAGGCCGTGTGGCTGAGGAGTCCGGGAAAGGAGTGTCGAGCTGGGCAGGAAGTTGTGCCCCCTGACCTCAGAGGTCCCCCACACCCTCTGCCTTTCCTGTGCCCTGCCCGCGCTGACGTCTGGTGGCCAGTGTCACTCCGGCATTGGTCAGCCAGGGCTCGTCTCTTGTTGCTTTTGGTTCTTGTCTCCTGGAGCAGCCACTGCCTGGTGGCGGCCTGGCTCCTGCCCTGGGCCGGCTGGGGCTCCCTCACTTCCCCCTTGCCCGTTTCTAGGGAATGCAGCTGGAGGACCTCAAGCAGCAGCTCCAGCAGGCAGAGGAGGCCCTGGCGGCCAAGCAGGAAGTGATTGACAAGCTGAAGGAGGAGGCCGAGCAGCACAAGGCCATGATGGAGACTGTCCCGGTGCTAAAGGCTCAGGTGAGGGCGCCCCCCTGTGGCCGGCGGGGCCTGTGGGCACTGGGACCTCTTGTGTCACTGGCGTCTGTGGGCCGGGGCTTCTCGGCAGCCCCTGGAGCCCTCTGTCGGCGCTCCGGGGATGGCCTTGCCCTGCGCCACGGAGCCCGGGAGGCCGGGAGCCGGACCTCCCCCGTGTCCCCCAGCACTGAGAATCGGCCGGCCAGACGGCGGACTGCCGACGGACGGCGGGCGTGGCCCCTCTTGGCTTTGTCTGCCAGGCGGACATCTACAAGGCCGACTTCCAGGCTGAGAGGCAGGCGCGGGAGAAGCTGGCGGAGAGGAAGGAGCTCCTGCAGGAGCAGCTGGAGCAGCTGCAGAGGGAGTACGGCAGGCTGAAGGCCAGCTGCCAGGAGTCGGCCAGGTGGGCCTTGCCATCCAGCCCCGCGAGGAGCGGGGCTGGGGGCCGGGGACTGTGGCGGTTGCCGCCCGCATGTGGCGGCTTCTGAGCTGGCGCTTGTCGCCCCTCGTCCTGCCCCAGCCTGCCGGCTCTGTTGACCAGACGGTTTCTCTTCTCAAAGGATCGAAGACCTGAGGAAGCGACACGTGGAGGTCTCCCAAGCCCCCTTGCCCCCCACCCCAGGTGAGGGAGCTGCAGGGGGAGGGGTGGAGAGGGCAGGGTGCTCTCCGGAGGGTAGTACTGCTTTGGGGGAGAGGGGGGAGGCAGGGAGGAGCTAGTGGTAGTGACCCCAGAGCTTGGACCCGACAGTCCTGTCAAATCGCAGTACTCTGTGCTGCCTCCCCTCTTTCCCCAGCTCACCCCTCCTTCCACCTGGCCTTGCCCAGCCAGAGGAGAAGCCCCCCCGAGGAGCCGCCTGACTTCTGTTGCCCCAAGTGCCAGTACCGGGCTCCGGATATGGACACGCTGCAGATCCATGTCATGGAGTGCATCGAGTAGGGGCTGCCTGGGGGGCGGGCGGCCCGGGACAGCGCCCACGAGCTAGCTCTAGGACCTTCCGCTTCAACTGCCCCGGCTGCTGGCCCGCGTCTGCCCTGGCGCTTGGAACCCACCGGGCCCGAGGCTCTGCTCTTCTGGTTTGTTCTGTCTGCTTGGACCGCTTTTCTCTGGGGCTTCCTCTCCTTCCACGGCCAAGTCCAGAATCACGGCCAGGGCTCTCTGGGAACTCCTCGCGCTGCCGCGGGCAGAAGGCTCTCCTCGCCCGCGAGCTCCCACACGCCGTGGCATCAGGGCACTCGTGGGCCGTGTGCTGTTCCGTGTGGGGGCTGCCCCGCCATTGGATGGCAGATGTCCACTTGTGAGGCCCGTGTGGGTCATTGCCACTCTTTAAGTGTCGTGAGCGATGCTGAGACAAACATCCTCATGCGTCACTGACGTGTGTCTTTGGGTCAGATTCTTCGAAGCTGCTCCGTGGAGCATTTGCCGATGGGTGCATGGGGCCCATGTGTCGCCCCTGCTTCCTCAGAGCCTTGCCCGTGGCTGGGATGTCTAACCTGTGGGCTTTGGCCATCTGTCTGGCGCGTGGCACTCTGGTTACAGTGAGCCTGAGCATCTCTTCAGAGCTTGAAGGATCCTTTCCGATTCTGCTGTTAATGGCTTATTTGTGTGTTTTGCCCATTTTTTCTGTTGAGCTGTTAGTCTTCTCCTCGGTGTCTTTAAGCTCTTTGGTCATTAGTGGGACCGGCTCTCGCGTGTGATAGAAACCGCGCATATCTCCTCTTGCTCTGCGTCAGTGCAGGTGGGTTTTGGACTTGAAGTTTGTCATCTTAATGTGGCCACGGTTCTCCACCTTTCCTTCACAGCCCGGGGTTTACTGTGGTTGTGACGCTTCCCACGTGCACGCTTTCCCTAACACCGCAGCATGCTCTTGTCCTCCCCGAGCGTGTCACCGTCTGGCATGAGTGATAGTGGCTGTGTTTCGTCATGCTGCAGAGGCTTGCGATGCTGTTCCCTGCACCAGCCCTAAATGCCCCAGCCTTGGGAAGGGAAGCCCCTGGTTGACCATGGGCAGGTTACAAACACTAGAGGGCTCCTTACTGTTGTTTTGCAAGATTCCGGATGTTTCCTCGATGTCAAAGCCAAGGGCATCAAGCCTGCCTTTGTCAGGCAAGAATGATAGAAGAATGCCACGGTCTCCCCGGGTTGGGAACGGGATGTCACTGAAGGCAACCCGGCCGGCAGCCAGTTCTGAAGACGATCCTGGGCCGGGGGCTTGCGGGGTGTGTGCAGGCAACTGTCCCATGGGAAGGTGCTCAAGGCTTCCAGGTGCTGTGTCCCAGTCCTGACCCTGTAGTTTTTTTGCAAGAGCACTTTTAGTTTTTTGTGGGGGATGTGTGCATTTCCTGTGGCTGCTGTAGCAAATGACCGACTTGGCTTAAAACAAGTCATTCTTTCATTGTTCTGTAGTCAGGGAGGCTCGGAGGGCAGATCAGTTCCAGGCCTCTCTCCCGGCCTCTTGGGGTGGCCCCTGCTGTTCTTGGCTGGTGGATGTGTTGCCCCAATCTCTGCCTCTGTAGTGACACGGCCTCTCCCTCTTCCCATGTCATCTCTCCTCGTCTCTTAGAAGCACACCAGTCGCTGGCTTGGGGCCCGCCCGCATCATCCAGGATGAGCTCATTTGGAAATCCTTTATCTTCATTAGATCCACAAGGACTCTTTCCAGCTCCGGTCATAATCCCAAGTTCTGGCATTAGCTCATGCCTGTATCTTTTGGGCCACTGTCCAGCCTAGCGCAGGGCCATCTTCTGGAGCACACAGTCTAGGACACAGGTGGGGGAAGACCGGGGTCTCCAGGGCCGGCCGCTCCGTCGAGGGGCTCATTCCCTGGGGCTGTGGTGGCTGCTGGGTGCTCCGTGGTCAGGAGAGCTGGGTGGGTGGGGACAGGCCCTTGCAGGCGTGGGGACTGTTGCTCCTTAGGACACCTTGGCTCCAGCTGACCATGGGCAGGAGAAGGAAGGCTGCGGGTCATGGTGGGACAGGGACGCGGGCCCATTGGGCGCTCCGGGTAGCAGCCGCCAGCTGTGGAGGGAGGAGCTTTGTGCTTTCTTAGGGGCGCGGACGAAGACCTGGGGGAGTCCTCTGCTGACTGGCTTCCTCTTCTGAGAGGGAGTTGAAAGGAAGAGGATGGGACCCAGGAGTAGCGAGAGAGGCCGACGTTCTCTTCCTGGGGCACTTTCCTCAGGTCCTGGCTTTGGCGCCCCGCCAAGGTGGCCAGGAACTCAGACAGGTGTTGGTGCCCGGACCCCAGGCTGGATCAGGGTCTGCTCTTCTGAAGCATCCCCTCCTGGGCTGCCCATGCCCCCTGCCTCCTTGTGGCCCGTATGGGAGCAGCTGTACACGGGACGGCTGTGACTTTCCAGCGGGCCACTCACCTAGAAGCCCAGGATTCTGCTTTCTCCCCTGCTCGCTTTCCTTTGGGCTTCAGAAGAAGTGGTTGGATCCTTTCTGTGAGGGGAAGCAACCTGCCTACCTAATGATCTGTGGCCCCTTGACCTTCAGCACTCTGGCTTTGGGAGGCAGAGACAGAGAGCTCAAGGCACAGCCCGCCAAAGCCCAAGTCCTTCTTGCTGTTGGGACGACAGCAGGCGCTGTTACCCGCTGGCCCGCATGGGCCAGAAATCCGGGTGATCCCAAACGGCACTGTAAGAAAGCTTTCTCTGTCGCTGGTAACTAAAACACAGACTCCAGCTGCACGGAAAGTGATGGGGGGGCAAGGAACAGATGAAGCCTGGCAGCCAGGTGCGGGGGACCGGGGGGCCGCTGCGGCCGGGAGAGGCAGCCTTGCACCATTTGGGTGGATGTGGCTGGTGGGGTTGCCTGTAATTACGGTTTCCTTTTGTATTTGCGTAGTTGCTAAGTGGCTCTAATTTGCATGTATTACTCTGATAGGTAGAACAACCTGTTTGTTCAGAGTCCGCCTGGCCGGCTAGCGCAGCCCAGAGGTGGTGTCTGCTGGGGCCGAGAGAAGCAGGACTGGCTGTCGAGGGGGACGCCTCAGGTGCCTGGTGATCACTGACGTGCTAGGAAGGGGACAGGGCTGAGCCGGAGCTGCCGGGGTCCCACACGCCCAGGCGGGGTGAGCAGCAGGCAGGGCTGCGGGGCAGCGGAGGGTGTGCAGCGTCCTGGGCCTCCCGAGGCCTCGGTCTCCATGTGCAGGAGGTGACAGCAGAGCTGCGGGTGCCCTGGAGGGGCTCCTGGGAGCTGGCTGAATTCCCATCCAGTCCCCCAGGCGCGGGCGGGGACAGGAACTCGGGCAGGTGTCAGTAGTAGTGCTCTTTAGGAGGGGACCCACATGTGTGCATGTGGGTCCTTGAGATTGTTTCCGCATCTCCTCCTCTGAAGCCGCTGTTAGTCTATTCCAGATGGCAGATCACATGAGTGTGTATTTTTATGTAGTGGCTTAATTCTTTCGTGTAACAGCTGAGTAGTAAGCAGCTGAACATCGGGTTTCTTTTTTTGAGCATTTTTTTTAAGTTATTCTGCATTTCAGCCACTCTGGAAAATGGTATGGAGGTTCCTCAAAAACTTGAAAATTGAGCTACCCTACCACCCAGCAATCACATGACTGGGTACTTACCCCAAAGATACAAATGTAGTGATCCAAAGGGACACCTGCACCCCAGTGTTTCTAGCAGCAACGTCCACAATAGCCAAACTATGGAAAGACCCTAGATGTCCACCAACAGATGAATGGATAAAGACGATGTGGTTCATATATACAATGGAATACTATGCACCCATCAAAAGAAAACGAAATCTTGCCATTTCGAACGACGTGGTTGGAACTAGAGGGTATTGTGCTGAGTGAAATAAGTCAATCAGAGAAAGACAATTATCATACGATCTCACTCTTGGAATTTAAGAAACAAAACAGAGGATCATCGGGGCAAGGGAGGGAAAGCAAAACAAGATGAAACCAGAGAGGGAGACAGACCATAAGAGACTCTTAATCTCAGGAAACAAACTGAGGGTTGCTGGAGTGGAGGGGGGTGGGGGGATGGGTGGCTGGATGGTGGACCTTGGGGAGGGTATGTGCTATGATGAGTGCTGTGGAGTGTGTGAGCCTGACGATTCACAGACCTGTACCCCTGGGGCTAATAATACATTATGAGTTAATAAAAAAAAGTCACTCTGCATTTCTAGAGCTCTGTTTTATGTAACAGGTACTTTAAGTACATCCAACAGGTACTTTAAGTACTTTAAGTACATCTAGCCTAGAGCCCACTTAGGATTCTCTTACTCCTCTGCCCCACCCCTCCATTTTCTCAAAAATAAATAAATAAAATAAAATAAAATAAAAATGGCCTCTGATTCTTCAGTATCTGCCACCGTGGTGAGCTTGCATCTTACAGCAGTGAGATTTTGCTTGCAAGTTTAAAGGCGCAGTCTGCAAACATCTGTTCAGCAGGGCGCTGCCCGGGGCAAAAAAACTAGGACAGATGTGCTTCCAGATGACCGGTTGCTGTTTAACATGTAATTGGATTATATATAAAAGACGAACAGAAAAGCTAGGAAAATACTTGAAATCTTTCCCTATCAAACATTCCCTCCGGGGCGCCTGGGTGGCTCAGTGGGTTAAAGCCTCTGCCTTCGGCTCAGGTCATGATCCCAGGGTCCTGGGATCGAGCCCCGCATCGGGCTCTCTGCTCAGCAGGGAGCCTGCTTCCCTTCCTCTCTCTCTCCGCCTGCCTCTCTGCCTACTTGTGATCTCTGTCAAATAAATAAATAAAATCTTAAAAAAAAAACCCTCCCAAAAGAGAAGTCCTAGACGGGATGGCTTCATTTAAAGAAGAATTGACACCAATCCTTCCTAAACTCATTCAAATAATAGAAGAAGAGGAAATACTTCCTAATCCATTCTATGAGACCTTTCCTGAGCATTACCTTGATGTCAGAGCAAGACAAAGACATCACAAGAAAGCTAGAGCAATATCCCTTATGAATGTGGATCCAAAGATTCCTGACAGAAAACGCATCTGACAAAACTCAACACCTGTTTCGTGAATCTAATCTGGATTAGATTAATTAATCTGTTTCTTTTTGGCAACAGAAAGACACATAAGACCTTTATACTGGAAAGAAAGAAGTGGAACTATCTCTGTTTGCAGATGGTGTGATCATACATACAGAAAATCCTAAGGAATCCACAAAAAAATGTTAAAGGTAATAAAAATTCAGCAAAGTTCAGGATGTAAGATCGACATGCAAAATTAGTTGTATTTGTATCTACTAGCAAGGAACAATTTGAAATGATATTTGAAATTTGAAACATTTTTAAGAAAGTTCTATTTAAAATAGCAAACAGAGCAAAATACTTGGGAAT